ATTACATTAACATACATACCATTACATTAACATACCATTACATTAACATACCATTACATTAACATACCATTACATTAACATACCATTACATTAACATACCATTACATTAACATACCATTACATTAACATACCATTACATTAACATACCATTACATTAACATACCATTACATTAACATACCATTACATTAACATACCATTACATTAACATACCATTACATACTAACATACCATTACATACTAACATACCATTACATACTAACATACCATTACATACTAACATACCATTACATTAACATACCATTACATTAACATACCATTACATTAACATACCATTACATTAACATACCATTACATTAACATATATACCATTACATTAACATATATACCATTACATTAACATATATACCATTACATTAACATATATACCATTACATTAACATATATACCATTACATTAACATATATACCATTACATTAACATATATACCATTACATTAACATACCATTACATTAACATACCATTACATTAACATACATACATACATACATACAACGTACGTACGTACGTACGTACATACATACATACATACATATTTATATATATAGACACCTCTATCAGTTAAATAAGATACAGTAAACATCGAAAATACCGGACCATAACAAGCATTATGAACAATATACTCCAAAGATATGTGTTTGTATGTACGTATATCCAAACATATTCAGTATCTATACGGCCAAGCACCTCGTCTTGCCCGCGCCTGTTGGCCCGCCTTCTTCGTATGAGCTGAAACCATGGAAACAATTGGGTATACTAACATCATGGTTAACTTGATGTTCTAGATCAGAACGCACAGCATAGGGACCTGTGCAGGTTCGTTCCACATCATCATCATCATCATCATCAACAAGAACAAGAACAAGAACAAGAACAAGAACAACAACAACAACATCCACATCATCTAACATGATCATCATGATCTTCCGAATTGAATGTAAAGTTTAACGGGGGTGGGACTTTTATATTCCCTAATACCTTTGTTAATCTTCCCAAGTCAAGAAGGGTGTGAGCGACACAGGGTGTTTGCGCGTACCTATACATACTACTGTTTCGATATTTATAATATCAAAACATATGTGTATGTATGTCGACGCAATTGTCTATTGGTCAGTCTCTATACATGTACATATTGAAAAACGCATATATATGTATATATAAGTGTGTGTGTGTGCATTCGTGTTGTGTATGTTCGAGTATTTCGAGCTATTTCGACGTACTTGTCTGTTTGCCACTCTATACGTAAATATCAACATCTATATGCAATATATATATATATATGTATACATTATGTATTTTACATATTATAATGTATAATATATAAACACATATATACACAAACATTATATTATTATACATGTATATACATGATGGATATATACTGGCACCATATAACATCCTTTTCTCCAAGCTCCAAGGTGCGAAGATGGTTCGTCTCCGAGGAAGGTGCATTGGCAAAGAGCAACCTACAGAAGTTTCCACAACACCAGGGAATCATTATGGCATTACCATGGGATTATAATATCTATATATATATATATCTCATGGGTTGGTAGGATATATATATATATATGTACATAATGGGTTAGTAATATATATATATATACTGAATTAGTAGGATATATATATATATGATGGGTAAGTAGGATATATATATATATGTATATATATATGCATTATATACACAAAGGGTTAGTAGGGTATATCTATATAGACATATACATAAACATAATGGATTAGTAGGATATATATATATAATGGGTTAGTATATAGTATGATATAATATATACGTATATATATATATATGTGTGTGATCATATATATATATATACATATGATCATATATTGTACATTCTGAAACTATGATTTGAATTGGATATCTACTCATATCATCTCGAAAAATCTACTCGACTCTATGGGATTCTATAATTACATATAAGTACAGTAGATCTGTATAGACTGTATGTGACATTTTAAGACATGTTGGTAAGGTAAAGCTTCCCATGCGCTTCAACTGTTGCCCAAAAATAGATCACCCAGTTTCCAAGCCAACCGAGGGACGTGGTGAAGCGGCTGCCCAACAATGCACCTAGGAATGGGATGGGCTACGGATGGCTACTGCCGGACTAGTCTTGGCAGTTGAATGCGTTCAACATCTGCAACACCACAGTTCAAACTTGCAGCAATGCCTCTGAAAATTGGAAAAACATGTTCTGATCAAATAACCTATGTGTATCCTTTCAGGAAACTAAATAACAAGAACCAATTCCCCACGGCATCCACGTGGAATATTCCCCAAGAAACGAGTCGAATGTCCTTTAGAAAATACTCAATAATTATCTCTCAAACTCTTTGTCTACATACATATAAAAAGGATCACAAAGGGTCCACTGTATGCTCTCCCAAAATTTGCTCTCGGGATCCAAAGTATTGCCACGTTCAAAAGCATTAGCTTGCGTTTTGATACTGTTTTCCAATTACGTCAAATTAAAAACATTAAAATATTGTATCCCAGCCTTTGTATGAATCACCCTTGCAAGACTTGTAGATGCAATGATTTCCTGTGTTACAACTTTGATAGACGAACCACCAACCCCCTGGTACCACATAAATGATATCTATGGTATCAAGATCCTGTCATCCGACCTATCTAGTAAGATCCCTCCCACCGGTAGCTACAATAACATTAAAATTCTGATAATATGATTACATATGATTACAGATGATTACAGCTCTTAAGGGAATGTAGCAACAACCGATACGGCACCAAGTCACAAGCAACGACCACCAGCAGGCTAGTGAAGCGGGCCATCACTGCTTTCTGCTTCCGGGCCGGATGGGATGCTTGAGAAAGACCTGGAAGCTGAGAGATCTGAGAGGGTCCCTATGAAACCGGCGCTTCAATCGCTTCAATCGCTTCAATATGGAGGTTTCCGAGGTCATGGGGGTACCCCAAATATCCCAAATCCAAGTCATGGATGACCATTGAAACATATTGAAACATATTGACACATGTGGTGATTTGATGTGATTTGGGGATCCACCATTTCAAGAAACCTCCATATGCCCAATGAAAACTTCTCAAGCCTTTCCTGGTGAAATACAGATGAATAGACAACCTCCGATGATTTTCAGAAGAGTAGCGGCTTCGACGTTTGTCCATCACCAAAAAAGATCAAAAAAGAATCTGCCGCAAAGGCCGCAACCGCCATGATTGGAGCAGCTTCCACACATTTCCACACTTTCACCAATCCATTAAACTGAAAGCTGATCGTGAGAATCACCCTCTTAGGTTCAGCATGGTTCAGCAAACTTGAACTCTGCCATGCAATCTGCTTTGCTCACACAGTAGTGCACCAAACTCTCAATGTAGTTGTCCCATGTTGTCCCACTTTTAACATCTTTTTGCCATTTTCCCAAGACGCATCTGGTGCTGGTCATCAAAAAGACGGGGACTCGGGGTGCTTTTCAGCTTGGGGTGGACTCACCAGTAGAGGGTGTCAGGGAAGAAGCGCTGGATCTCAATGATACCACCTGTCAAAAGAACTGCCACAGGTCTCAAGGTTGTCATCTGGTATAAAATGTTATGTCATTTCACACATTTCACCTCGCAATGGAAAATCCAGATGTTTCGGCGAGTAAATTATTATCCATTGCTTTTCTTACGAAAGGTGAGCATCCATCCATCTTTCAACGAGTGACAGATCCACAGATTTCGCACATCTCTATCATCCCTGGGCTACCCCTGAGCCTACGGTGAAAAGGGCAATGAAGGAGAAGAAGTTCACGTTCAAGGACAGCCTGAGAAAATTCGACCGCTCAGCGATCTGTGACCCTGTACATCTTATGTCACTGCTTCCACCTTCTCCGTGCTTCCGAGGCAGAGACCATGCTTTGATGTCATCAGACTGGACAACTGGGGTGATGTAGTTGACCTGGCACGCAAACATGGGAACCACAGATGGGACTTAAACACAACAGGCTCAAGTGGATTTCGGGCCCTGCCGTGTCATGCATGCTGCGGGTATTTCGGATTGGCGTTCTCTCAAGTCTGACACGGCATAATCACCACAAGGGTTAAAGAATTAGTGCCGACCTCGGCACACAGTCAGAAGAGAATTCCTGGATCACGACCTTATGCACCGCTGGCAAGGTATGATTTTTAGTTTTTTTGGAGTCCCCTAGATAGAAAGGGGAACAGCATTGACGTTCCTCACCTGATTGCTGGCCCCTGTGCTGTACTGAATCTCAGGCTGGTCCCAGTCGTTGGTCTTGAACACCTTGGTTGTAGCACACGTTGCTTTTCCCAAGTACGATTCCAGCCGATCAAGGGGCGGCTTCCAATCCAATAACGTCACTGATCCTTCGATGGATCTTTAGATATCTTGAGATTGAAAGGAATACCTTCAGAAAACCTGTGGTGTCAACTTCCCCACTCTCTTCCTTCTACAATACAGAAAGGACCAAATTCCACTCATTGTCGCGCCTATGAAAACTGACAAGGGACCACTCGTGGAGGGTTGTTGAACTTGTCCCTCTTCACGACCTTGCCGGTCTCCTCTGGCTTGATCAGCACCAATCCCTCATCTCGCCTTGTGCCAAGCTGCCAAGCCGCCAAGCTGGGGCCAGATGGGGCCAGATGGGGCCCAAGTATTATATGATTATATAGATATATAATCTTATATTAACATATATTAACATATTGTATGATGTATTTGATCATTGATCATTGTTGATCTATGTTTATATATTCTATTACGGTTGCAAACCATCTGAACCACATCGGGTTCCATCGTGTTGAATTAGTTTTGTGAAGGAACTTTACCACAAGCAGCATGGACCAGAGTCAAAAGCAACATGAGTAAGGAACTCTTGCATTGAATGCAGTGCTTAAATGTGCTTAATGCTTTTTCTACCCAATTAAGTCGTAGAAGCACACATCTGTCTGCCAGCAGCCACCGGACCACCTCCCAATGAGATGATTAGCCATCATTGGTTTGTTGTGAGATCTGAAAAAAAAACGTCTTCTGCCATCCAGGAACAACAATCATTGGGGACGTTGGCCTGTGAACTGGGTTCTACCCACACGCGACCCTGAAGAAGCTGAATGTGTTGATCAGGATGCGATTCGAGACTCGAGGGGATGATGGAAAATGTTGGCATCTACAGAGAAATGTTGGGACTTGGTTGGGAAAATCTCAAAATCTGAAATTCGAAGGATCCAATGGAAAACTCACTCACCATATCAAATGGTAAGGTGATCCTTTGAAAGCATTTTGACAACCAAAAAAGAATAGACTGTCAACTTGATCAACCAATCTGACTATTTGTGCCAGGAAGCTCGTCCACTGCCCTGGCTGCGGTTCGGCTGCCTGGGCTCCAAAGAATTGATCAAATGGTTGCCATATGTTGCCATCCAAGCAGTTCACTTTGCTACATCTTGATAGATCTTGATGGCGGTTTGCCATCTATGGCATTCCCTCCACGCCGAATTTGAAGTCCAAACAACATCTACGTCTCTACGATGCATGGTCAGTCTGAAGTCTTCGGAAATGCATAGGATCGAGTATTCGCAAGTCACAATATTCACAATTCAAATTTGAGTGTCAGAACTTCCATTTAGAAACTTCAATGACTCTTCTCACAGCCAAGATGCGAAGGCTCTGAGTTGGGGCATTGGCAAAGAGCAGCCTGCCGGCACAATGGACGCATCCAGGGGTTGTCTGAAGACTGGGTACCCCAAAATCTCGTGGTCCCTCAGTTTCCCTTTTCAAAAGATCTAAAAAGGCAGCGATCCCCCACTGGGTGCTGGCACGTGGAAACGTGGCTGCCAAGCAATGCACCTTATTGAGCAGTCTCTCGGGAGTTCGAAATGAAGGAATGGGGATGACCCAAGGACCTGCAAAATTCATCAAAAATGTGATTTTGGAGTGTTAAACAATGTTTAAGTTAAACAAACCACTTCGACTTTAGCCATCAGTCTTTAGTAGTCATTTAATTATATTTAACTGCTAAACTGACAATTTTGGGGGGGCTCAAGAATCTTGAGCCATCTTGAGCCGTCTGTTGAAATGGTGGAGGATGGCCACGATCTTGTTCCTGAACAAAAGGAAATTGCAACAGCACTTTGTTTCACTTCAGATATTAGGGGTCACCTTTGACAAACTGCAGCACGTTCATTTCTTCGCTATAGGCCTGTAGTCATTCAATGTCCCTCAACTTCCGGCAAGTGGCAAGTTAAATTCAGAGGTGTGTGGTGTAGGATGTAGAAGTAGCAAGTGGCAGAAACCATAAAATTCTGAATCAAAAGAGCACACCCAGTCAGATTCATCATGCCATCAGAGTCTACAGTAGGTCAAAACACCCAAGGCGGGGCACCGGCGATCAGCATCAACAAACCACCGAGTCGGGCCATGGCTCACCTTAGGAAAGTACTGGGAGCAGGTTAGAGGACCATCAGCCCAAAAGCAACATGAAAACCGGCGAGTTCGGTAACTCCACCGGGAAAAAAAGAACAACACAGTGCTTGGTTTTTCATGGTTTTCGACACAGCCGCAGGTGTCAATGCATGTTGCACCCCGGAAATCGAATGGGAGATTGGGTGCTTTGATTGCTCATCCCTTGCACAACGCTGTGCAATGACCGCTTCACCCAGAGATAGACACTTTGGACCCTGCACTGCGCTTCCGTGTTATCCTGGCGCCTCTCAAAACAGAATGCTTCTTTAATATTATATTATATTATCTTATATTGTATTACGTATATTCACATTATATTATAATATATATATATATATAATATAACAATAATAAAATAGTAATAATAACAATAACAATAATAATAATAATAATGTATATATATATATATATTCATGTATATTCGCCTGTGCATCCAACTGCCAAGAGACAACGATGTGGACGAGGAGGGGACTAGCCGAGTGAGCCTTGAGCCCTAAGAGTCTTCGGGAGGAAGTGGTAAGTCGCATCTGTGCAACCTGCATCTTTTTCAAGATGAAGAGGTGTATGGTGTATTTCTGTGTGCTAGATGTACTCACCTCATCTCACCTCTTCGAACATGCCACTAGACTTTCACCCCAGTGGCCATCTCCTCGTCGGGCCAGGAGGGCATGCCCAAGGTTTCCCGCATCTTCAGACACCTGCCGTAGCAACACTCTGCCCAGCTCCTCAAGTTCTACACGCCCAGCATTCCTTGGTTCCTTGTACACTCTGAGGACCTCTAAGGGCTATGATTCATCGTATTTGATTGATATCCATCTCTAATAACCTACATATATTTATGTCATCGTCATCGTCATCGTCATCGTCATCATCATCATCATCATCATCATCGTCATCGCCATCGTCATCGTCATCGTTCTCCTCCTCCTCATCATCATCATCATCATCATCATCATAATCATATTTAATTGTGTACAATATATATATATGTATATATATAGACACGTATATATATGTACACACTATATGACATGTGCTTTTTTGTTTGGCCACTGGAGCCACTTGACATGGTTCCCATCTTGGGAGCCAAAAAATGGAAGACCAGGGCCCAGCCCTGTCGCCCACAGGCCTGGCAGGAGCACTGGACCTTGATCTGTCAACATCGAAGGCAACCAAACTTTGTTCGCTTCAAAAACTTGAAACAAAGTGATCAAAGTAAAGCTGCTGTTCATCTCCTTTCTATATCTTTCTATCCTTTCTATCTTCAAGTCGGTTGTAAACTTGTGACAACACACAGGTTCATTCCTGGTGCATCATGAGTTCCACATGATCCACCACAAAATTGAGGGGAAACTGGCTTCGTCACTTGCAAGGACCTCTGGGTGCACGAACCCGCAAGCTGCCATTGCATCGCGAATTGCCTGATACGAGTTCCACTAAAACGCGATCCGCTGGGTGCAGCAAGAACTCGGGCCAAGATATATCAAGAGCGGCTTTAGAATTACTGATCACCATGAACAATTGAATAGGTGAAAAGTTGGAACTAGAGTTCCAAGAAGAGAGGTGTGAATTTGATTCCCCCTGTTCATTGCTTCTGGGATGCTTCGTGGTGTGGCTGTGGAACTCAACCGCAGACCTGGCGTACCGAAGAGGTTCCAATGCACTCGATGGTATCCTCCGTCTCACCTGCCATTGGCAGGTCTTGTGATCTGAAAGACAGCGGAAATGGGCACTTTGATTTGTTCAGGTTTGTTGAGTTGGTGAACTGCAAGGTTTTATGGTAGTCACAAAGTGGCACAAAGTGCGATACACTTTCAACAGAAAGAGGTACCAATGCTGTTCAGCCCAAACCTGGGCCGAAGGAAAGAAACAAATTCTCTGACAAAGATGGATCAGTTTCCTCCTAAATACCACCAAACACCATGACCATACTATAGTTTATCATCATTTTCCATGCAAGAAAATCGGAAATGGCGAAGCAAATCCTCCATGTCTGGACAAAACCCAACATCATAGTGTGCTGGTTGTATCCATTTGTATCCCTAGTTTATCCAGGCACCAAATGGCTGGCTTTATCCCGCCCAATCTTAGATACCCTGCAAAAAAAGAATAGTTGGTGAGTATCCTCCAACTATACCCACTTCTACCAGACCCAGTTGTCACCATCCAAGGTTTCCCTCTAATACCTCATAACCCACCTAGATCCCCCAAATCTCTGACCATATCGGGGCCTTGGTCGTCATCTTCTACCAGTGCCATCAGCTGTCGCCAGGCGGCCTCGGCTTGACCTGCCGATCACTGCCGACTGCTAAAAGTAGCGCTGCCGATGCATTAGTTGTGTCTACAGTATACATATGATATGTGTGTCCTACATAATATATATATATATATTTGAAAGCAGTGGCATCCAGTTCCTCACTCATCCAACTGTAGGTCCTCACCGAGGCAACTCTGGCTCAGGGAAAAAGGTAAGCCGATGGGAGTCGCCTGCTCGTTTGACACAGGGGTGTCTTTGGCGTTTCCCCATTTAAACTGGTAGCGGAGCCACTACGGTGGCCGCACCAGGGGGATTGCCAAGCTCCAGGAGGAGCGGTTGGCGGAAAGCAGTGGCATGGCTTCCGACTCAAAAGATGGAAACGGAGGCCAATACAAAAGGTTTTCGGGCAATGATCTGGACCCGAAAGCCTACAAGCAATGGAAGCTGTGGGCCAAAGCCAAGATGTTGTCCATGAAGGATATGCTGAAGACTCAGAGAGGGCCATTCGTGTATTGCCTTCTCGATGGCCTGGCACTGGAAACAGTCGAGCATGTCAAGCTCGAGCAACTGGCTGAGGAGAACGGTGACGAGGTTCTATGGGCAGCTTTGGATGCAAGGTTTCCTGACAAGCTTCAGCATGACCATATGGCTGAGTGTCTGAAGGAGGTCTTCCAACTGGGTCCTCGTGATGGAGAGTCGATCGCTGAGTGGACGGCAAAGGTGACTGAGACCTTTGCTCGGCGCCGACGGAAGGTCAATGTGGACTTTCCCACGGAGGCTCAGGGTTGGGTCTGTCTCCACCAATCGGGGTTGTCAGAGGATCAAAGGGCCATAGTGACGGCCAAGGCCCAGGGAGATTTGAAGCTGACAACCATAGTCTCGGCCATGCGGTCGTGTTTTCCTGATTTTCGCATGAGCAATAGATCGGGAAGGGCGCGAGCTTCAACAGCCTTGATGGTCACTCCAGAGGAAGAGCCCTGGGACGAAGACAGTGGCATGCCTGCTGAGGTCATGGATGAGGCACCAGATGCAGTGATTTTCAGTGACGTTGAGGCCTTCTTGGGCGAGCATGGAGTTGCTCTCGAAGGTCCACCTCCCCCTGGTGAAACTTACACTGAGGGCGAGACAGTCGAGATTCTCGCTGCTTCCTGGAGAGAAAAGAGAGCTGAGATTGCTCGATTGCAGCGCAGTCGAAAGTTCTCTCAGGCTGATCTGGTGAAAAAGAAGTTCGTGCGTGAGGTGAGTGATGTGCGAAAGCAAACGAAGTGTTTTCGCTGTGGACGCACGGGTCATTGGGCCCGCAACTGTCCCAACAAAGACGGCAAGTCAGATGGCAAGGGATCATCATCGCAAGCCTCAGGTGCAGCAGTGGTCTGGGAGGGCTCGTCGTCACATGAGGCCCTTCTGGTGTCATCGCCTGGTTTTGGTATCATAGATTCTGGATGTGGTCGTACACTGGTGGGACAGGAGATGCTGAACTCCTTTTTCCGTATGCTGGCTGAACGAGGAAAAGCCTGCCCCACTCTCAAGAAGGAGAACAATCTGTTCCGCTTTGGCAATGGACAGGAGGAAATGTCTGCCAAGGTGGCCCTCATTCCAATTGGGATTCATGGCCATGAGGGATATGTCGAAGCCGCAGTGATCTCTGGAGACGCTCCTCTGTTGCTGAGCCGAGCCACAATGAAGAGCTTGAAGGGAGTGGTTGACTTCTCAGCTGAGACTGTCAGCATCTTGGGAGGCGCAGCTCGACCTCTTACTACCAATGAGGCTGGCCAGTATGTCATCAACGTGATGCAGTTTCCTGAGAACGAGGTCTTGGCTGCCTCTTCAGCAACCTCGGAAACACCAGATGTGGAGACCTATGGCCGCATCACCATGAAGCAGAACCGCAGCCTGATGCCAAATCGTGAGGCCTGGGGAAAAATGCAATCACGTCACAAGTCATGCGAAGTAGCTGAGCTTTTTTCACCTCCTCGTTTTGTTGAAGCTGTGATCAAGAAGGGTGGAATAGGTCTTTCATTTGATATTCTACAAGGTTGGGATTTGAATAAGCCTTCCACACAAAAGAGAGTAGATCGCATGTTGGACGACCAACAACCAAAACGGCTGGTGGCGTGTCCACCATGTACTCATTGGGGCGGTTGGTATCACCTAAATCAACAGCATTTGACTCTGTTGCAGCGCCTTCACAACAAACGAGTAGCTCAGAGACAGGCCGACTTTGTGATTCAGCAAGTGAAGAAACAGATCCGACGGGGTGGCAGAGTCCTGATTGAGCACCCGTGGAGCTCTGGACTTTGGAAATATCCACCCATGCAGAAGCTTCTGCAACAGATGCACTTGTGCAGAGCCGATCTGTGTGCATATGGACTGACTGACCCAGACTCAGGACTGCCAATTCTCAAAGCAACTGGGTTAGCTGTTTCACATATGGACATGAAAGCCTTAGCCATCACATGCCCTGGCCATGAACAGCACAAACAAGTGGCCGGAAAATGCACTGACGGAGAAAACCTGAGTGTCAAGACCTCTAGATATACTCCACAGTTTTGTGATCATTGGCTCTCATGCTTGAGGAATGACGCCCTGTTGTGCCAGTTTTCATGCCTGGAGGAGTCCCCACAAGTGAGTGAATGCTGTCCCACGACAACGGCTTCTGAATCTGAGGCCGCTCAACCGTGTAGGATCTCCGAAGTTCTGGCCTCTGAAGTGGATGCACCAACCGATGACCAAGCCAAAGTCGAGTTGCGTAAACTTCACAACAACTTAGGGCATCCGACAAATAGGGATTTGGTTCGCATCCTCAAGAATGCTGGAGGTTCAGATCAAGCAGTTCGTTTGGCATCCGAATTCAGGTGCGATGTGTGTCACAATCGTCAGCGCCTGCTCCATGTTTGCCTGCGTCAGCTCACCAGTTGGTAGATTTCAATCATCGAGTAGGACTGGATGTTAAGCGTGTCGTAGGTTGGCAAGAGAACCAAACTGTTCCTTGTTTAAACGTGGTGGACTATGCTTCTGGGTACCAACTCATGTTTCCTTTCTATGAAGTAGAAACAGGAGAGCTGCTGCGTGATCTGTTCATGCAAGGGTGGCAACAATGGGCTGGTGCACCAGTCGAAGTCATCGTTGATCCAGCCCGCACCAATTTGTCAAGTGCGTTTGTGGATCCGTTGGAGCTGTCAGGTACACGGGTGATCAGCACAGCCGCTGAAGCACACAATCAACTGGGGAAGGTTGAGAAGCATGGTCATTTGTTTGAGGTGATCCTTCAAAAAGTTGTTGATCAAGTGCAGCCGACAAGCCGACAAGAGTTTGAGCAGTGCATCCTGTTTTCTTGCAACAGTAAGAATGAAATGCTGAACAATCGAGGCCTTAGCCCAACTCAACATGTGTTTGGTAGGCATCCCCGTATTGCCAGTGACCTGTTGCAGGATCATCCGGATCCAGTAGCTGCCACAAGTCCGCTGTTTGATGCACAGGCTGCCAGAACACAAGCCATTCGGACGGCAGCCAGAAATGCTGTAGCCCTGTCTCAGGATGATGCAAGTCTCCGTGCAGCCTTGAATGCTCGTCCCAGAGTCGAGAGGGATTTTGTTGCTGGAGATTTTGTCAGCTACTGGCGCACTCAGAAATACATGAGAGGTGTTCGTTTGGTTGGGGGCCGTTGGTATGGAACTGGAATAGTCATGGGAAAAATTGGTCGCAATGTTTTGGTTTTTCACCGTCAGAACATGTTCAAGGTGTCTCCAGAGCATTTACGACATGCCTCCGACTTGGAACGAGCTGTGGCCCAGTCAGACGGCCGGGAACTGCTGGGAATCAAGGATCTTGTCAGTGAGGGTCGCAACCTTTTGGGTAACCAGTACGTGGACTTGAGTCTTCAAGAAGGTCCACCACAACATGAGACAGTTGAACGTGTCTTCCAAAATGTCCGACCAAGTCCTGATGTCTGGAAACGTGAAGGTGATCTTTTGATCCGGGTGCACAATACCCTCAGAGTGGGCAAGTTCATGCCTGATCCCAAGGATCCAGCCGTACAACAGCTGCAGTTGGAAGATTGGCGTTTGTCTCGAATTCAGGGAGACACCAGGGAATTTGTGGACCGACCATGGTCTCTACCGACTGGGCAGCGTGTGTCACGTTTGAGAGCACAGCCATGGTTGGGAGAAACAGTATTTAAGATACTTAATGCTCAGGGTCCCATAGTTCCTTCTAGCGGTGCTCCAATAGCGATTTCCGATGAGAGCCTGCCATCTCCCGAGTCACCTGCCGGTGCGGCTGAGAATAGCTCAGGCCTGATGTCAGCACTGGATAAGGGGCCAGCAGAGTCAGTTCCAGAACCAGCTAGCTCTAGCTCATACAACCGAAGTCAGCCTGGTCAGAACACGTATGGTCCTGTCAGGCATAGGTCGTCGAGTCCCAGGCGCAGTTCAGAACTGATTCGCCCCCCAGCGGTGCTTCAACACGATTTCAGTGAGATTCTGGAAGAGATGGAACATGCTAGCAACAAACGCAGCCATAGCCCTGTCCAAGCCGAAGATGTTAGCAACAAGGTTCCCAGAGTAGAGTCCGCCACTGAAATGTTGTTGATTGAAGCACTTCTGACTGAGAAGCACCGGAGCGTAGAGTCCCTGGTCGCTGGATTCATCCAGAAAAAGCTCCAGACTGAATTGCCGCACTCTCACAATCCACCAGCGCTTCAAGAGCGCATTGACCAGGCTAAGGTAGTGGAATTTGTTCATACCTTGCAAGATGAGAAAAAGGCAATTCAGATCATTCCGCCTCACCAAGCCTATAAAATCCGTAGGGATAAGCCAGATAGGATCATGAGCAGCCGTTTTGTTATCACCGAAAAGAAAGAAGATAACAGCAGTCGTACCAAGGCAAGATGGTGTCTCCGAGGACATCATGACCCGGATTTGGAAGCTAAAGTTTTGTCAGGTAAATGTCATTCACCAACACTGTCACCAATGAGCCGTAGTATCATTCTTCAACTGATTGTGAGTTGCGGTTGGAAGCTTGGACTGGGTGACATCAAAGGAGCCTTCCTGGAAGCTGACGTCTCCCGACAGACTTCAGCGAATCCGGTGTTTGCTGAATTACCTCCGGCAGGTGTGCCCGGTGTTGCACCTGGTAGCCTGGTGCAGGTGCTGGGAAACATCTATGGTGCCAATGATGCTCCCCACAATTGGTATGTGGAATTTGACTCAGTGGCACAAGAGGTTGGATTCACCAAATCAAAGTTGGATAACTGTCTGTATCTCTGTCATGGTGATGATGGTTCTTTGCAAGGGGTCCTTGGTGCCCATGTGGATGATACCATTTCTGGGGGGTGTGGTGACAAATACAACCGTGCCATTGAGCTCTTGAAGGCCCGGTTTCCCTTCAGGAAGTGGAGAATCGGAGAGGGAGAATTTCTTGGAACCTTTTATCGACAACATGACAATGGAGAGATAACATATCAACAAAAGGACTACGCTCAACATATCCGTCCTATTTCCATTTCCAAGGAACGCATCAAAAAACCTTGGCTGCCCGCCACCGAAAAAGAGGTGAAAGCCCTTCGGGCAGTGAATGGAGCCGTGGGCTGGATTTCTTCTCAGAGTCGCCCTGATTTAGCAGTGCAGACGTCGATGTCACAGCAGAGTTTTCCTAATCCAACTGTGCAGCACCTTTTGACTGCCAACCAAGCTGTTCGCCGTTGTCGCCAACAGTCAGATCTGGAACTCAGAGTCCCCTACATACCACCTGAACACTTGACAGTTTGCTTTTGGTCGGATGCTGCCTTTGCCAACAATGAGGATCACAAAACTCAAGGTGGTTGGTTGATGGGTCTTACTGCAAATGATTTCAGGTTTGGGAGAGATGTTCCTCTGCACTGTATGGCTTGGAAGTCTTACAGACTTCCCCGGGTAGTAGCCTCCACGTTGTCAGGTGAAGCCCAGGCTTTTGCCACAGCGTCCGGTATGGCAGAATGGTGTCTTTTGCTCTTAGCCGAATGTTTGGATGGCCCTTTTGATCTGGAAAACGCACTGGAGGTTTTGAAAAGAAGATCCCCAGTAGGAGTCACAGACTGCAGGTCCCTTTATGACCATTTGGTCTCATTGGGTAGCGGTGGTACTTTGGATGATAAACGTACTGCAATAGATGTGGCCATCATTCGTCAGAGCATAGTGCGGGCAGGTTTAGAGCCCCGTTGGTGTCCAACAGGACATATGGCAGCTGATGGACTCACGAAGGACAAAGGGGAACCTTTAGACCTTTTGCGGTCCATCATCCGTTCCGCTCGATATCAGCTTGCAGATGAGACAACGGTACTTGAGCGTGCCAAAGCTGAAAGAGATCGGAGAAAACTTGCCGCCATGTCCAAATCCCATGAGAGCGAGAGCAATGAGCCTTAATGCATGCCAAGGTTTTCAATCGTGATAGAGCCCACTAGGGTCTGGATCGTTGCCTTGTACAGTTTGTGAGAACCATCAATCATGTCAAGTACTTTGGATGAAGTAAGAGGTTTTAGGAGATGTCCCTGGGAGTTTTCCAACACTGCACATTTTCCAGCGAATTTGGAAGTTTTTGTCAACACTGCCGAGAACCTTTTACCTTTTCTCATTCAGAGATGCCGAGGAGATCCCTGGTTAAGTTGTCTCCTGGGAAGTGATTCAATTTCTGGGATCTTGCTGGTTTTTCAGTGCAATGGGTGCAGTGATGAACTGTCTTTTACATCTCTGGTTTTGAAATTTGTTTCTCGCAGTGCAATCCCTTTTTGTTTGAGTCAGTGAAAAGCGCCGTGCCTGAACTTGGATATTCGTTCTTGCTCCCTTCGCAATTCATGTCGAAGCCTATGCAGCCGCTGTCAGAGGACGAAAAAGTCCTGTTGCAGCACTTGATGCAACGGGCCCAGGCGACATTGAATGCCTCCTCGTTAGAGACTCCTGGACCAATGACTCATGGGGCTATGTCAGATGCCTGCAAACGCCATTTGTCCGATGATGAGGATGAGCTCTATAGTGAGGAGTTCGAGCGTGTGAGCATGGTGGGATCGTTTCCGGCTGAGCATGTCCTCTCTGGTGGCTCCCAAAAGCCCGTTCCTCCTTTGGAAGCGAAGGGGGTTAAGCTTCCTCCGGGTGTGGTGAGCCTGGAGGATTGGGGCAGCACAGTGTGCAAGCTGCCCAAAGTCTGCAGTCTTCAGGTGAGCTATGCTGAGATGGTGGCTGATCAGCCCACTCATGGTGATTATTTGCTGTGGGTTTGGAAGCATGGCGAAAAGAAAGGTGGTCGCTTGGAAGATCTCTTCTTGTACCTGAAAGCCATCAACTATGGATCCAAGCACGTGCATGCTGAGACCGAAGTCTTTCCCGGAACGAATTTGGTTCGTGAGCGCAAGCAGAAATGAGTCTTTCGATATCAGTTTTGTGAAAAGGAAGTCCTTTCTGAGTCCGAAGTGATTCAGAGTCTGTCGGGAGTGACAGAATTTGCCTGGACTTCGTTGCTTACTTTTATAGTTTAGGGAGTTTGAAAGCAGTGGCATCCAGTTCCTCACTCATCCAACTGTAGGTCCTCACCGAGGCAACTCTGGCTCAGGGAAAAAGGTAAGCCGATGGGAGTCGCCTGCTCGTTTGACACAGGGGTGTCTTTGGCGTTTCCCCATTTAAATATATATAATGGTACTACTATTTTTATGTTTCTTGTGTGTTTACAAATTACGCCTAGAAATATAGACGTACGTGTAACAGTGAAATGTGTACATATGGGACCCCAAATTGTTCAAAAGTAAACGTGAATCCCAAACATGTTGATGGTGAAGTGTACAAATTCAAATGAAGGATAAATAATATATATATATCTGTGTGTGTGTCTGTTTCGATCCTTTGGGGAGCTGCTAGACTATTTTATATATAGCTTACTGCTCCACCAGGTGGACAAGGTTTGTAGCCTCACGGCGATCCAACCTGTCTTGAGATCGGCATCTTTGGCCGGGCGACCTAGGCTGTATTCGTAGCAGAGGGGAGCAAATAGTAATCAAGTTGGATGAAAAATGCTGGCATATACCTGGCATATCCCGCCTCATGCCACAAACTCTGAAGGGCTATTCGTGTGCTTTGCTTCGCGCAGTGGTTCTTCAATGAGATGAGCAGATGACTTGGAGTCCTTCACAGAAATCCCCGTGGATCGAAGCCACTGCTGCTCTAAGAGCTCTAGGTCTCCCAAACCACATCCTTTGGAGTCAAAGAAGCGGTTCAGGGCCTGGATTCGTGATTCATCAGGTGGTTGTGCCAGCATTGGGACAGAATCTATGTACCAGCCAGGCTGGTGTCTCATCTGCACCCCTACAGAAATTCATCATCAACTTGAATTGAGATCGTAAAGACATGCTCACTCTTCAAACATCCCAAACTTTGACTTTTGGATTGGCACAAAATTGGAGACAAAATCCCAAATTCTATCATATTCCATCATATTCCCATATATTCCCCAACATGTTCACCATGTTTCTCCTGGTGAAATCCAGGACCATCCCAAAGTCTGCGCCTTTGCCCTTGTGTTGCTGCTATATTTCTCGGCTGCACACAGCAGCTGCGAGAGAAGTCTGGCCTGGTGCCATGGCTGGTCATTTGTCAAATTTGTAGATATCAATTTTTGGTTGTCAATACTTGTGAGTCGTTGCTCCTGCCTAGTTTTGCAGCCTCAGACTTTCAGAAGCTCGCAACTAAACACTCTCGGCACATGGACAAGTTATTCGCATCACCACCATGCGCGCCCTGGGCGCACCTTGTCTTTGTGGGGATCCTTCAAGCCCAAAAACTTGGCACGTGCCAGTAGAGATGCCTGAACTTTTCACCAGCAGCTCCACATCATGAAAGCTTGCACTGCCGAACTTCCAATGAATCATCGTGGATCCTGGATTTTAAGTTTGGAACCTGAAAAATGGAGGTTTCCAGCTAGTCATGCTGGGTACCCCCAGTCATCCAGCTATAAATGGGATGTTACCACCAAAACCATCCAGTTGGATATCCATCATTGGGCCTTGGTGACCTTCTGGAGATGTTCACAGTGTTTCTCCAGAGAGGACCTGTGTCAGATCGGGGAATATGTACAATTATAGTACACATGAATATGTACACATATATTATGTATATAATATGGTGTATATATATATATATACTTACTTAGAAATGTATATATCGTGTTTATATATACATCGTGTTTATATATATATATGATATATGATATATGATATGTGTGTATATTATTATATACTGTATGCAATCATATGCATATATGGTCCTGCCCGCCGCCCTCCCAGCGTGGTATTGCCGCCCCATCCCCAGCGAAGCACAGAACTTGGATTATTACATTGAGGTACCACGTATATACTATATTATGCTGCATAAGTGTCTTTGTAGTAGCCATATAACAGCCGTTATCAAGATCCAATAGGAAATATCAAGATCCAATAGGAAATACGGAAATGCTGGCCGCGGCCTCGTGCCACTTACACACTCCCTACATGTTACTCAGTGTACTTCATACTGTACAGGGTTCACTACCTATACACGGGGGGGACGTGGGGGTAAGCTACACCCTAGATCACCCTAGACACAGCGTACATACTGCCCATATGCTCTAACCTTGACCATCACCGTTTGGTTGAGGGGGCTGCAGAGCTGTACCATATTGTATATATATATAATGTAGGTATGCGGTATATGGAATTAATTATGTACATATATATATATACACACACATACAGTACATACAGAATATGTAGATATAGAAGTTTTCTCTCTCTCTCTCTGTGTGTGTGTGTTGCCTCTGTATGACTGTAATATCCTTCAATTCAACTCAATCTGTATATCGATGATATCAGATGCAATATGAATTTAACCTGTGATGTGCAGCCAGCCTGGTCTATGACTAATTACAATTCATGTGGTGGACAGGGTATGTACCATCGAGAGCAGCAGAGCTACTGTTTTTTTCGTCAGGAAACATGGTATACTCAGTATACTCCAATACCAAACCGATCCGGAAACAGTTCACCATACACCAAATCCATTCCATGGATCTCCCTACCCTTCCCATCCAGGTCCCTCCTTGCGAAGAACGGCTCGAAGTGCTGAATCAGTTGCACCGACGCCAGGGCTTTGTCTGCCAGAGCCTCTCACAGCTTGTGCTTGGCTCAAAACTGGGGGAGCAGTTCCAAGTGGATGGCTTGCATTTAAATTTTGCATCAATCTAGCAAGCTGGACGGGCAGCCATGCCCTTGGCCTCTCTAGCACTGAGTAAATCTTTTGAGTCAACAGCTGAAGGAGGGCATCAAGAAAATTAACAGCAAGCGCCTTAGCACAAATTTACAGTATCTGAGTATGTCCTTCCCAAGAACGCCCTGACCACGGGTGTTACAGAAAGTGAGTGATAAACCCCCATTGTGCAGGGAAAAAATGACCAGGGATTATTTGTAACGATGTTTTTTTTCCCCAGGCAAATCGAATGATCACTAACCAACCAGTGGATTGTTCGTAATTAACCAACCAGTGATTCTCGACTTTTCGGCAAACCCATGGTGTTCACATCCCGCTTTCGTCCCGCATCGCACCTTGACGTCCCGCTGGGCAGAGTTCAACTCCTTGCGACGAAGTGCCAGCTGCCGCTGGCATTCCTCCTGGACGTTGGTATCATTTTTTGGGTTGCTGTATGTTGCTGTAAATCATCATGATATAACACGTGACTTATCCCGGTCATCATGGTCATCTTCTAGAGACATGTTATATATATATATATATATGATTTCAACATTTTGAGGTCATTGGAAACCTCCAAACTTCAAAGGAATTCTGACGAACTTGACGATCAATGCTTGTTCTGCTGCTTGTTGACATGGTGTGGAAATCTCACCAAATTGTGCCAGTAGCTCAGAATTTGCTTGTACAGAAACTTTGACCCTGGTGTCCGGCCCTATCTTTTGCTGTGTTTGGCAGCAATTGGTTTGCAATTCAAAAACTGCAGTAATTAGATACACACCATTGAGCAGGGAAACTTCTTTTCCAATTTGCATTCGATCAATTAGCTACTCAACAGTCCAACATGTTCAAAGCCCAACAGGGTTGCTACCTGGTATGCTACCTGTCCCACTTTGGGTCTTTGTTCATCTCAAAATCATCTCAACAGAAAAGGATAAAAAAACGTTGGTGATCCCATGTGATCCCCCAATTCGATGATGTTCCAATGGCCTCAGCGCTCAACACCTCCGAATCACTGGAGATACAGAAGTGGCTGCAGAGCTTTAAGAGGCCCGTGGTGCTCTGACCCAGGTCCTTGCGGCTCCAAGAAATGGAACATAAACAGAGAATAACAGAGATGAGATATCAAAGAACTGGTGGTACATGGTCAACAAACGTTCATCTACAAACATTTTGAGGTACCCTTTGTTTGATATGTTTGATAAACCCCTTTGAGTGGTTCTCTACATCAGGGACCCACAAACCAGCCGTATCTGTCCTGCAAAGCCTTGACATCCTGCTGCTCTATGGCTCCCTGGCTGCCCTGCGTCAGAGTCACCTCCTGACTGGTCTTGGTCAGGGCCAGATACAGGGCACGCTCCTGGGGCTGATGCTGGGCTTGTCTGGGAATCTACCATAATAGGGAAACAGTGGGAAACAGGAAACCTATGTATCGGCATGTATATACAGTATCAGCCGAAAATATGTCAGCCAGCCTTCGAAAGTACAGCCTCCCAGCATTCGGAAAAAAAAAACGATGCAAACATAGCCTGCACTGGTGGTGCTGCAAGATCTTCTAAGGGAAAATCAGTTGCAACGATGTCTTTTGCTAGACGACCTGCTGACATACAACGTGTTCTCAGAGCAGTTCCAGATGTTTTCCACCAGGCTTTCCCCAACATCCCCAAGCCCTTGAAACTGCAGCATCTCTCCTTTGGCGTCTGCCGCACTGTCAGAATCTGCTCCTGGCAACTGCGTTGAAGATCGGTTTCTCTTATCAATCTCTGCACAAAGGTTCAGTTTGACGTTTGACATACCTCAACTATTTTCAACAGCTTCTCTAGCTAGATCCACAGCTCAAAAACTGGGGCAATCTTCTCCATTTCGGCGCACCCACGATTCTCCCTACTCCATCAGCTCCAGGGACCTCTTCTTCCAGGGGCGGCAAATCCGCTGTGTTGCGGCGAACAAAGGCATCGATCCACTCCTAGCAACGCTATCCCGGAATTTGCCAGTTGATCTATGACCAAGGTTGCAACATCTTGTGTATGTACGTATGTTTATGTATGTATATGTAAGCTTATATAAGTCTTGCATGTGTGAGGGAGGGAAGTTATTTGAGGTGACTGCAAAAAAGTGGGATATCTGGGAAGTATTTCCATCAGAAGGCTCGGTTTTCCTACTACATGTGCGCACGAAAAAATGCTGCTCATATCTGCTTGATATAATTCGTATATATATATATATATCTGGTTCCAAAACTAAAAACCCTAAACACTAAATCCTAAACCCTAAAACCTAAGTCTGACATGAACACGTAAGTAAGCCTTGAAAGTAAATTCTCTTTAAATTAAGACTGTGGTAAACACCCTAAAAACCCTAAATGAAACCCTAGATAAACCCCAAACCCTAAACAAACCCTAAAGAGTTGGTGACATGATAAACCTCTGGGCGGCATCCCCAGCCTTATCCAAATATGGATGGAGTCTGTGGAAATGGAGGATACACATCTTGGGTAATTTTCCAGACTTGTCAGGAGTTTTGATGGATATATGAAGTAGTCTATGAAGTAGTTGTAAATTGGATATATGTCGGATATATGAAGTAGTGTGAAGTCAATATACACACTATATATTATGGATCTATACACATCGATATATTTTAATGATAAATTGGTCTTCAATTGTTTCCATATGTCTACCGAGATCGAGTTGGTGTCATGGTCCAACTCAACCAACCAATCTTCCAGTTCGCCCTGAGAAGCTGAACGTTAACCTCACCAGCTTGAAGATTACTTGCTGAGAACTTGAACATCAACCCTCAAATTGAAGATCATGCTGAAGTTAAATATATATATATATACACATGTGAACCTTTTCCTTGATTGGGATGTGTCTTCAAATGGGGTATAAATAAAAATAATACAGGATAATGATGATAAACCAATAGATTTAGGTGGTTTTCCCACAATCCGGTATTGCAACAATATGCATAAAAAAATTAGGTGTAGATGTGTTATTGTAAACCAATACAGTATAATACAGTAATATTTTAACAGGATTTCCAATATTTAAACCAAACCCATTCATATTCTATCCTCATTTTCCCCAAAAATTCTCCCCATGGCAGCTCCTGAGCCACCTTGCGCTCTTCGTCTTTGTCGCCCTCGGGCAGTTGAACTCCCATGAAGCCTGCGGCCTGAAGGTCAACGCTGCAAGCAACAGGACTGGTCCTAAAAATAATGGTACATGATTACATGATGATTCAATGATACATAAATGACAAGTTCTTCCTTTTTCTGAATCTTCTTTGGGGTTGGTGATGGTTGGTGCAATACATGATCTGAAACAACATTGGATTTTGATGGGACATTCATCACCGGCCGTCGGGCCGTTGGCATTAGCAACAAGAAGAACAACGACAGCTTTCTATAGCGTTTCCATCAAGTCTATACTGCTTCAAGGGCAGCTCATGGCAGCTTTGCCGTCATTGCATTGCACGCCTTCCGGATCTGGGGCAAGGTTTGACATGGAGGAGTGCCACTGAGGCCCCACCTCGGCATACGCCAGTGTATGCGAAAGGTAATTTCATGGTGGAATGGATGTTAAATTGCTCCAGGATTTCGGTAATGGCTTTAGATATTTGTTGATTCAATATATTTTGGATACATTTATTGATGGCTTTATAGATTTTTCTTTTAGTCTCCTGGATTACTTTTGGACACGTGCTATACCGCATCTTACACGGCGGAACCCAGGGCTTCAGACTTGAAGTCTGCATGGAACAACTCCACAGCCACTTGTGCAGGTGGATAGCGGCTCAGAAGCTCATGAAATTCATCACACACCACCCGGCGCCACCAAAATGCCTCACAGATCTAGCAGTGATTGGCAGTGATTGGCAGTGATTGGCAGTGATTGGCAGTGATTGGCAGTGATTCTTTGACCTGGAAAAAAACATGAAAAGAAGAGAAACTGAACATGAAGAGGTCAAGCATGGTCAAGCAGCTAGATGATCGACATGATCGACTCCGTCCACCAAAGCTCATCACGAAGGACTTCAGGAACACAGGATTTTCAAAACACGTGCACCTCAAGGGGCACGAAGGATGTCTGCTCCAAGATGGAAGATGGATCCTGACCAGGCATTTTTCTGTCATCTTTGCGTGTTTCAACATGGCAGAGGTGGCCTGCCGTGGGCCATGCCACCAGGTTTCTATTCCTCAAAATGGTGATTATGACGGGAACATGATGATTTTGATTGTAAACAAACCATGATAAATGATAAACCTTTGATCTTCTGGCACACTGGTTTTGGAAAACCCAATGTCATGCTCCCCTGTGCCATCAGGAGTTCTGTCGATCATTGTCAAACTATCTCACTCTCTTCAAGCCTGCCTGTGGATGTCGATACATTGTAACCATGGACCGCATGGACCTGTATGATGCATCTATTGCATCTATCGTTGTATCTATTGGTTACGCATGGCCTCATTCGGAAAATCTGATCCAGACCTCCTGGAGAAAATCTTGGGACCGCTGCTTGCCGTTCAAACGGCGCCGCTTGCGATCACCCTGACAGCGCCCATGTTGGATAGGTACTCAATAGGAGATCTCAAGAAATGTAAAAAGGTGATCTCGGAAAATGGTTCCCACATGTTCCCACTATGTTTTAATCTCTTTCGAGTTTCTGTTCATTTTATGACTTATGGTCATTGTGCTAGTTTGTGATATGTGATTCAATGGATTCAAGGGAACATCTACAGGAAACAGAGGAAACCATCATCCTTAGCCAAATCATGTCAAATCCTGCCGGCATGTTCGCATCTGCTGATCTGCCTCTAGAAAGAAGCCCAAGCGCTTGGCACACCACTGTGGAAGTGCTTCGAAGGCATGACGGTAGGCCTTGCCCCATTCACTGCCTGGATGCTTTCCTGCGACTGAGCCATTGGTATGGAACGCTTGCTTGCAGAATGAGAAACGGAGCGTGGATAAGGATATGGACATTCTAGCACTTTAAGTTTAAAACTTTGTTCTGGCTCGCCGATTGCAATTTCTTTTTCAGACCACAAGACAAACAGCAATTCAAAACGTTGTGTGTGTGTGCTATGCGTTTCCGGAGACGTGCAAGTTCGCCGCAAAATACAGGACACCGGTGTCCAACGACGACGCAAACTCCATTGCAGCAAACCATGTCTGCAACAAAGATACACTGGCACTGCTGGTGCTTTGTGACAAACCTAGGATGGGTTGATACATGTTGAAATATGTTGAAATATGTTGATCATTTCCCCTGTGGCCAAACAAATTGACCATGTGCGGAGCGCACGTCCTCCGGTCTGAGGGAACGTGAAGCCCAAGGAGTTTTCACGCGTCAACTCTTCCAGACGAGTCAAGTATGCGTTGGAGTAGAAGAGCCTCAAGGGCCACCAAGGGTCACCAAGGGTCAGCAAGGGTCAGCAACTTAGATTGGCTAATCAAACTCATGATTGAATATGGATATGGTTCTTTTGTTCTTCTGGGTAGTGTCTCCTTGCAATGTGGTTGACAACCTTGTGTGTATACAGTACTTGTGTAGATATCATCACATGATCGTATCAATGTACATATTCATACTGATAGTGATGAACATAACCCATGGAAAAGATCTTCAAAGCGAAACAAACGTGTCATGAAAATCATGTCATACTAAAATTAACCATTTACCAGTGAAAACATGATTCATTTATTTAAAGGCTGGGCAAATCTATCAACTTTTGACTAGTCCATTGGTACATATTACGCTCAGTGGAAAGTAAACAGACCACTCCAGCCTTCAATTAACACAAAGTCCCAGCGATTTGGCAAAGAAATACATAATCGTCGTCGTTGTCGTCGTCGTCATCATCGTCATCGTCATCGTCATCGTCATCGTCATCGTCATCATCATCATCATCATCATCAGCATCAGCATCATCATCATCATCATCATCATCATCATCATCATCATCATCATCATTGTTATTGCCATTATCGATAATGGTATTAGTGTATGGTTATTCTTACCCTACTGTTACCAGCTGCCCACCTGCCCAGCACGCCTGTAGCTGGCAACCACCACATCCGCCTCCATGAGATCTTTCCTGGGGCTGATTTCATGGCCATACTGTAATCAATTGTTATAATTAGCAATAAAGTATTATAGTTTGTCATCTATCATATATTATTGATAAATATGTAATGTAATGTAATGTAATGCAATGTAATGTAATGTATGTATATCTGTATATAAATATATGATTATATATATATACACATGTGTGTGTATTTATATATCATTTATTGATTCAGTCTATGTTTCATTGATTATATCTTGGTCATCGAAAAACGATACAGTAATAATTTTAATCATAGATGCTGATAGATGGCAATAGATACTGATAGAATAATAACAATAATCATAACCATACAATAATGATATCAAACCATAATTTAATATGATACGCTATGATTATATATAATCAACATAATGGAAGGGAGGGAAACCGGAAACCTACTTCGTGTCCCAGGTCGAAAAAGACGAGCGTGTGAATCCCATATAACTGTTAGACGTCCCAAACACCAACAACGACACCTCCGAGGTGATTTCTTTGCTCCTCCACTGAAACACCACTTGTAAGAACCATTAAGAACCTAAGCAATTTAGCTGTCAATCTCCGCCATGGTATTCCCCGCTGACCACTGAAGCGTGGCCAAAGTGTCATGGTCAACCTCTTGAGCTGGGCGCAGGTTGGCACCGAGAGCACCTTCAAGGTGTCACGGGTGAACCTCAACGGAACAAGTTGGAATTTGACGATGCATTTTTTGGTTCAAAGACGGTGGAGATTTCATTAGACGTCTTTAGAAAGTGTGAAATCTACACCAATGTTCCAGGATGTCTCATGGATGCGTGAGCTACTGCACCTCAGTACCTCAGTCTTCGTAATTCTCATGGGCATGTGTAGTGATATATGCCAGACCAACAGATTTCTGATGTATCCACCCATCCCCTCCCATCCCATCTGCAGCCCTGCAGCTTTTGGATCTCTGAAAGCCACTGGCCGTGCAGGTTGCTGGGCGCCAAGACCAAGGTGGCGCGACTTGGGACAAAGCCTAAGGATTGGAGGGTCAAATGATTGTCAGATGCTGCCGGCTCCGAATCCCAAACATCAAATATATTGAAATGGTTTGGAATATGTTGGAATCACTACGTATTGAAACGATCTTAGTGCCTTAGTGCTCATTGAAATGTCAGGTTGACTATGGTTTGGAATCACAAACCTACCAAATCAGCACTAGGATATGCCTTGTACCTGCGGCATTGCTACAAGTACTATGTTCTGCAAAATTAGGACATTGAGAGTCGTGCCTCTGTATGGCATGGGCACTCTGGGCATTGGCAGTGCCTGGAGCGGGCCCAAAAAGGAGCGGATGTCCCAATTTATGGTAGTTGCAATGGGACAATAAGTTTTCAAACCATCGGATTTTGGTACCCCATTTTCAGGAGAACCCTAACCATTCCAAACTCATCTTGTGGGTTCTTTTAGGGGTTCAATGTTGATTTTCAGCGAAGAACATTGCGAATCACTTTCTGACGTGCTCCAAGCACTCCCGGCCTTGGTCTTGTCAATCAGACCAATGGTGCAGGCCGTCTTGCCATAGCCAATGGCATCAGCCAGAACACCCCCGCGGACGCCAAGGTATTCGCAGCGCAGGCTGCCTCCCGGTCCCGAGCTGTCAACATCAATTGAATCAACAATCAATGTGAGGGATGAGGTGACCTAATAACTTTTCCCAGACATCCCTGCAATCAGCAGGATGCTGAAAGGCAATTGTTTAAGAATATGATTGCATGCACACTGGCCCAAACAACATGGGCACGCCTTCTAACCGCCAATGAGCAGCATCTGGGCAAACTTCGAAATCGCGCAGTTCTGTTACAAAGGCTTCTTTCTCTGGGCGCTCCTGTGCCAAAAGAAAATCTGCCCGGGCTGCCCGGGGTAGTGATCAAATTCATCTCAATTGCCAGGATATTTGAAAGTCCTTATAATCATTATGAAGTAAGCAAGTCCTTCTAAAGGAGTTCTGAACTCTTCAGCAAAAGACATTACGAGAACACACACTATATATATATATACGTATATATTAATATATATTTGTTCATCATTTTGGAACACATCACTCCATGTGCAATTTCAGCTGTGATCTTTGACTGCTTGCATGCAGCCGTTTTTCGTATCAAAAAGACGAGGTGCGTTAACGGGCGGTGTTGGTGAGGAGATCGGAATTTGAAGAGGGGCACAAATCGAGAAGTGTAACCCCAGAGAGCAGCCTCTAACCTGCTCTCAACGAGACAGGTTATGAGCCCAAGGTGGCGCTAATGGATCTTCTTAGACATAGAAGGGCAACCCAAGAGGAGTTGAATGAAGGGATGAGACAAATGAGAGAAGCGCAAGATCGGTTTTCTAGGGAAAGAACTGAGGAAGCCATAGAAGATCAACAGAATCCAGCCAATCAAGGTCAGGAGATTTTTGAAGAACCACAAAGCCCAAAAAATGAGTCCCCTAGAGTAGAAGAGACTGCGATAGAGGATCAGAAAGTCCCCGCCGTTGAGGATGTTTCCAAAGAAGCTGTAGAAGAATCTCTAAAGGGTTCAGTTCAGAAATCCCCCAATCCTGCTGTTGCTCCGACCACTCCAGCTGTCCGAAGTGGAGCCAGTGGGAAAGGAAAGGGAAGTGAAAGCCAAGAAGTTCTGCAAACGCCTCAAGCTGTTCCAAATGGAGGAGCTGGGAATGAAGGTGACGCTCCGGCCGACAGGTCTGGCAGGGCAGATTTAGGACCTGCACTGACTAGGTCCCAGCCCAGGTCACAGCCCATGTTCACACCACTTTTCAGTGAGCAGCAATTGAGACAGTTTGAGGAGCTTCACAATAGGGCACCATGGATTTATGGAACAGATTTGGGAACATCTAGACCTAATTGGTTGGAGATGGAAGACAGAAGGCTGCTTGCTCTTCAGGAAGAGCGAGATCGTTTGCGTCTGGAGTCTGAGGCAATCAGGTTTCGCCAAGAAGAGGAGCGACAGAACCTTTTGCTAAGGCTCAAAGTTTTGGAGGAAGAGAATCGTTTGCTGAAGTCTGGGAACGACAGGAGTTCCATCTATGGCACTCCTGAGGGTTCAAGGAAAGATCGAAAGGAGGCTGCAGACCCCCGAAAGCCCGAAGCACCAAAGGAGGCTGCAGACCCCCGGAAGTTTGAAGCATCAAAGGAGGCTGTAGACCCCCGAAAGCCCGAAGCATTAAAGGAGGCTGCAGACCCCCGAAGGTTTGAAGCATTAAAGGAGGCTGCAGACCCCCGAAGGTTTGAAGCATCAAAGGAGGCTATAGACCCCCAAAGTTTTCATGAAGCCCAAAGGCCGCCAGATTCAAAGGAGGCTGAAGACCCCCAAAGGCAATGCGGAAGTTCAAAGTCTGCGGAGGACGCAGGAGAGCCAGAGATCAGAATGATGATGAAAGGCATGATGAAGCTCATGGAGGGCATGCAGGTGCTGCAATCTCAGATTGTGGACGCAAAGAAGTCAAAAGACATGGAGATCGTCAAGGGTGCAATTCCAGATTTGCCCCGTCTTTCAGAGTGGAAGGCTGAGACGGCGCCTTTGGATCTTACTGACTGGCTTTTGACAATTGAGCCAGCTATGGGAGATCTTTCTGACACCTCTCAACAATGGTGGGAACAGATGCTGCAATCCGCCCGAAGTTGGTACATTCAGCACCAAGAGAAGACCCCCTTGGAGAAGGTAAAGCATAAGCCGCAGGTTCCAGAAGACCTGCAACATCCCAGGTACCAAAGACTCGAGAAGAGAGTCACTGCTCTTCTCATGGCTGCCATACCGCAGTCTCAGCAGGAAGAAGTGGTTGCTTCGAAGGAGGTGACTGCCATCAACGTGTTGGCTCGGCTGATGACGTGCTATCAGCCTGGTGGCCTCAGCGAAAAAGGAGCCATTTTGTCGGCTCTGGACTCTCCAGAGGAAGCTGCTGGACTTTCCCAGGCAGTTACAGGCCTTCGTCGGTGGCTTCGTTGGCATCGACGAGCTGGCGAAATAGGAGTCGTTCGACCTGACTCCACAATTTTGGTGAAAGGTCTTGGCCGCTTGACAAAGAGGGTGTTGAGAGACAACCCAGATCTTGCATTTCGCATTCAACTGGCAAAGTCGTCGCTGCAGATCGACACAGCACCATGCGAAGATTCAGTGATGACGTTTGCACATCATTTGCTTGCGGAATTTGAACAGGTTGCACATCAAGATCGACGGAAGCGTGAAGATGCAAAGAATGTTCAAGAAGCAAAGGCCAAAAGATTTGAGGAGAATGGATCTGGAGGAAAAAGTGCAGAGGGCAAAGGAGGGAAGGGCGAGAAGACGTCTACTCCACCATGCAAGTTTTTTCTTTCGGATGGAGGATGCAAGAAAGGAAAGAGTTGCAGCTGGTCCCATGTCACCGACGAGAAGCGTCGATGCTGGATTTGTGGATCAGTCGCACACCTAGCGCCAGCTTGCGATAGGCCACGAGAAGCTTCGAAGGAAAATGGAGAGAAGTATGGAAAGGGAGCAGAAGGAAAGGGAAGCCAGAAGATGGTTCAAAGACAAGAGAAGAAAGAAGAAGGAGCAGCAAGGACTGAGGAGCTTCCTCAGCCAGAAGCACCATCTGAGGAGCCGTCTTCTACCTCAGCTGAGATGAAAGGGCTTTTGGAAGAGGCAACGAAGATGTTGAAAGGTTTGACTATGCAGTCAAATGAGAAGGAGCAGAAGGGCAGGCAAGATCGTCTTGCGGCCATGCAAGATCAACTGGATGAGCTTCGAAAAGTCAAGGTTTTGAAGATTTCAAAGATGGAAAGAGAAGGAACTGTCTATGGACTTTTGGACAGTGGTGCAACTCATCCAATGCGAGCTGCACGACCAGGAGAAGATTTGTCAATGTGTGAAAACGTACGTGTGACCCTTGCGGATGGTCACCAAGTGGATATGGTGATGACACCGAAAGGAATCATGGTCATCGAGGATGGCAACGTGGAACCCATTGTTCCTATGTCAATGCTAGCAGGAGAGCTTGGGTATGTCATCACGTGGAAAGAAGGGTCTATGAAAGTGGAACATCCAAAGAAGGGTGCTTTGAAGGTCGTCATGCGGAACGGGTGTCCGCAGATCCCAAAGAAGAAGGCACTTCAGCTGATTCAGGAGTTAGAAGAAGGAAAGAGGATGAAGAAGATACAAGAGGAGGAAAGGAGTGCTGAGGAGAGGTGGCTTCAACAGTTGGTGAAGGCACATCCAGTCCTGAGGGAGCTCCCACAGCACATTCAGCAGAAGTTGGTGGTCAGCCCGGCGGAAGATTTGTCGTCCATTCCGGGCTGCAACAGAAGAAAAAGGAAAAAGATGAAAGAAGAAGGTTTTGTAGCTCACCTTTATGCAGGAGAATCAGAAGGATACTCCTTGGCCAGAGCCTTCAAAGAAGTGGGTGGCGATCCAAACCTTCTTGTGGAGATAGACATCAAGAGAGATTCAGAAGAACGACATGGAAGATCACATGACATGCTGAGAGATCATGATGGTCCATATCCATCGCTTTTGCGAGCTGCGCTGGATGGTGGACTGAAAGCCTTGGTGATGGGCCCGAATTGCCGAACACGGTCTGTGTTGCGGCACTACCCTCTTCCTGTTCCAGGGGGAGGACCAAGGCCAGTTCGGTCTTGGGAGGAGCCGTGGGGGAAGTCAACCAACACGGCAGAAGAGCAGAAGAAAGTTGTGGAGGACGATGTGCTTCTGTGGAGAGGGCTGATGCTCTACATCGTGCAGGAGGAGATCAGAAGGGCAGTTGGTAAGGGAGAGGAGTCAAAGATGAAGTTGGCACTTGAGCAGCCAGCAGATCCCTCTCACTATGTCCCTGAGGTGGTGTCTTTTTGGGGCACCAAGGAATGGAAGAAACTGCAGAATATGTACCAGCTTCAGGAACAGACCTTCCGCCAGTCCAGTTTTGGAGGTCGGGCAGTCAAACCGACCACTTTTGGAGGAGATCTTCGCCTGTGTGTCCCACAACTGCATGAAGAGATTCAAGAGGAGGAAGTGAAGCCTGTTGCCTCGTCTCAGGACTTGGCCAGATGGGTCCCAGGTCTTATGAGGCAAGTTGCAGAGAGTCTTCAACAGGCAGTCATGGCGAAGAAAGTGCGTTATGCGAAGATGAGCTGGGAGGAGCACATACAGAGAGGACATACACCTTTCAGAAGAGACTGCCAGGTTTGTCAGGAAGCTTCAGCGAGGGGGAGAATGCATTCAAAAGTCAGCCATCCACGAGCTGGAATCCTCAACCTGGACACTTGTGGTCCCTTCATCAAGGGACACGACGTGGAAGGCGAGTCCAAGTTTATGCTCATCGGAACATACACATGGTTGAGACCGCCTGATGACAACCCAGAGGAGGAAGTGGAGGAGCATCCCCCGATTGAGGTTGCTGAAGGAGAAGAAGAACAGTGGCCAGAGATAGAAGACGTAGAAGATGAACGAGAAGAGATTCAAGAGAGAGAAGAAGAACAACCTCGAAGAGAGGATGAAGAAGAAGATCAAGCCCCAAGACAAGAAGAGGATGACGGGGGCAGGCCTAGAGAAGAGGCTCCACCTGTTCCGAAGATCGAGGTTCTTCGGGTAGCTATTCCCTTGAAAGGAAAAGGAAAAGAAGATGTACTCAGCGGGGCCATGGATCTTTACTTGCAGCTCAGAGCTGATGGATTTCCTGTTCAAGGCATCCACACTGATCGTGGAAGAGAGTTCATGAATTCCCGCTTCAAGCAGTGGACTCGAAGCAGGTGTATCATGCATACAACAAATGGAGGAGAAGATCCACAGGCAAACGGAAGAGTGGAAAGAGCTGTTCAGGAGATCAAGAGAATGACAAAGCGACTGCTGCATGGTTCCGAGATGGACAAATCATGGTGGCCGATGGCTCTCAGGTATCTCATGGAGACTAGCAGATTGAGGAGAAAGCATGAAGACATGAAAATTCCAGCATTTGGAGAGAAAGTGCTGGTAAAGAAGAGGATATGGAGAACCAAGGCGTTGGAAGCTACTCACGAGAGCAGCAGATACCTTGCGCCAATGATCGAGGCACATGGTCACTGCATTCTCCGTCAAGATGGAAGATGGGGAGTTGCCCCATACGTCATCAAGAACGTCCAAAGTCCGCCACCACCCACCGAAGAGATGTGGCTGGCTTTGATGGAGGAGGCAGAAAGAGACGAAGTTCAAGAAAGGAGAAGAGTGAGAGGAAAAAGGCCTCTCCACCGAGGTGATGGTGAAGGTCTGTTGAGGTTGAGATCTATGCTGAAGGAAGAAGCCAAAGCAGTTGAGGAGGAGTGCCTCGAGAATGCCATGCTGGCGTTTCAAAGACTGGAACCTTGGAAGAAGTCCCTTCGCAAAGCAGAGGAGGAAGGAAGCGAGATCCTTCAGACCAAGATCATCAGTCCCCAAGAGTTGGAACGAGATGTCGAGCTCTGGGACGAGGCGATTAAGGCAGAAATGCACGCACTCATAGAAGAAAAGGGTGCCTTGAGGAGCATTAGTCGCCAAAAGAAAGAAGAGCTGCAGCAGCGATGCCCAACTTTGATAGTTGTCCCCAGCAAGCTGGTGATAACCAGAAAAGCAGGGGGAAGAAGAAAAGTGAGGATCGTTGCCTGTGGAAACTATATAGAAAAGGGACAAGAAGAGGACAGCCTCTATGCAGGAGGTGGAGACGCCACAGCACTCAGGGCATGTCTCAGCAAGGCCGTGCAAGCTGACTGGCTTGCCGCTACGTTGGACATCAAAACGGCATTTCTTAATGCTATGCTCCCAGGTGAGGGCGCAGATGACGAAGTCGTGGTGATCTTACAACCACCAAGGCTGCTGGTCAAGCTGAAGTATGTCCAGCCGGACGAGTTCTGGGTGGCGGTGAGAGCCATTTATGGGCTTCGTCAATCACCAAAACTATGGGGCGCACATCGCGACACCAAGATGGGCGGCATGAGTTGGGAAGGTCAAGAAGGCACCATCGCCCTAGAACCCATGGTTGGTGATCCAAACATCTGGAAGATGATCCAACTGAAAGAAGGCTGGGAAGAGGTCACCAAGGGCCTGATTTTGGTCTACGTGGATGATCTGCTGATCATGGGGCCAGAGCCTTTGATCCAGAAGTGTATCAAAAGGATTTCAGAAGAATGGGAGATAAGCAAGCCGGAGTGGCTAGGAAAAGATCGAGGAGTCAAGTTTTTGGGCATGGACATTTGGCTTACAGAAGAAGGAGTTTTTTTGCATCAAGGCAGCTACTTGAAGGAGCTGCTGAAAAGAAATGGAGAAGAGCATGGACTTCTCTCTGGAGTCCCAATCACACGAGATCAAGTTTTGCGCCTGGAGGAGGATGATCCACAGAAAGATGCAGATCAAGTCAAATTAGCTCAGCGTGCAGTGGGAGAGTTGATGTGGCTCCTCACCAGAACGCGTCCTGACTTGATGTTTTGCCTCAGCAAGATGTCTCAGGCCATCTTGCGAAATCCAAAAGAAGTCGTCGGAGTTTCCAAGCAGGTCTGGAAGTATCTGAGGAAGACACAAGATGAAGGTTTGTGGATAAGAAGAGGAGAAAGAAACGTTTTGGAGGTCTATACGGACTCGTCCTATGGTCCTGGGGGAGCAGACTCTCAGGGCACAGTGCTGGTCCTCTGGAATGGAAGCTCACTGCTGTGGAAGTCTGGAAGACAGTCCATCCCATCTCTCTCTACGGCGGAGAGTGAACTTTCAGAAGCGGTAGAAGGAATGGTGATGGGAGACAGCGTGGACGTTCTCGTCCAAGAGATCTTCGAAGAAGGATACCCAAAGATCATCAAGGTAGACAACACTGCCGCGATCAACCTTCTTGCGTCTCAAAGCATCACATGTCCGATGGCGATTTGGAAGAATGGACTGGATGGTTGAGGCTGTGCCAGGACAACATCAAATCGCTGATGTAGGCACCAAATCTCTTCCAGCGCCAAGATTGGAGGAGCTGAAAAAGATGATGAAAATGGGAAGCTATGAAAGAACAAAAGAAGAAAGTGAAGAAAAGGAGGAGGACATCAGCCAAGACGTACAGGAAAGAGATATCAAAGAAGGACCAAAAAGAGAAGATGTTGAGAAAATTCTCAGGGTGATTGTGGCCTTGGGATGTGCGCATCATGCATGTGCACAAGAAGAAGAAGAACAACGAGAAAGAGACAGCGGATGGGAGATTCTGATTTTGGTCGTCCTAGCTTTTGTAGGAATGGTGCAGATTCTCCAAGCTTTGACAAGGGCGGTCAAGCAGTTTTGGAGACGACGGCAGAGAAGAATCAAAGAAGAAGAAGTTCAGAAAAGAGAGCACATTGAAGATGGAAGAAATGAAGAGGAGAAGCCGAGTGGAAGTGGACTGAGTCGTCCAAAGGCATTGCCACCTTTGGATCAGGCTCCGCAACCAAAGTCTGCTCACCAGATAGAGCAGGCTCTGCAACCAAAGCCTGCATCTCAGGCTGCTCCGCCACCAATGAGTTTTTCTCCGCCGAAAAGTTCAGCACCATCAGTGCCAACAGCAGTTCTTTCAACATCTAGTCAGAGTGCGAGAAACAGCAGCTCGGCAGCTGCTGAGAGTGTGCCAAGAAAGGCGAGCATGCCAGTGATTTCTCAGATCAATATGACTAACACAGGGACAGCCAGAACCGACAGATCAAGCAGAGGTTCTGGTAGAAAACCAGTATTTATCACCCCGTGGGGAACCAAGTGGCACCAAGATACCACTTGCCCTACTCTTGCCAACTCTAGAAGTCTCATTCCAAGCCAATGGTGCCAATCATGTTCAGAGGCCAACCGAGATGAATCCTTGCCAATACTCTCAGTGGGCCCAGGGGGAGTAGCACACTATGATCCCAACTGTCCACTGCTTTCATCAAATTCGAAGAGGTATTCAAAGTGTCAGAGGTGTTAAGAGTGATTTCTAACCTGCTCTCAACGAGACAGGTTACGAGACAGGGTGAGCCAGAAAGAAAAGGAAGAGCGAAGAGAAAAGAACGGCTTGAGTCAGAAAGTGAGAGGGAAACCGTTTTTAGGTTTTTTGCACATCCCTTTCGAAATGCGAAATCAATTTTGTGCTGTGGACGGAAATTCCCATAGCCAATACTTATGAACGAAGTGAGTTGGGTGACGTGCGTCGCCAACTCGGGGGAGTGTTCATCATTTTGGAACACATCACTCCATGTGCAATTTCAGCTGTGATCTTTGACTGCTTGCATGCAGCCGTTTTTCGTATCAAAAAGACGAGGTGCGTTAACGGGCGGTGTTGGTGAGGAGATCGGAATTTGAAGAGGGGCACAAATCGAGAAGTGTAACCGCAGAGAGCAGCCTCTAACCTGCTCTCAACGAGACAATATTATATAGATTATCTTAAATAAATATATATATATATAGATAGATATAGAGAGAGAGAGAGACATTGAAAGGGGTTGAAGAGCAATTGAGTAGCGATTTCCCAATTTCCCAAATCCACTCAGAGTCACATCTCGCAGAAACCCACCAGCTCTCAATGACTGGCGCGCCTGCCCCAGCATCCACCCCAAGGATCGCAGCTGTTCCGGCCGCAGAGGGTGCGATGTGAAGTTGGGGGGCTGCTCTGTGGCTGGATCCTGGAATCTTACAGCAGGATATAGGTCGGTCTGATGGGGTACACCATATGCCCCCCAAACAGCCCACCTTAATAGGGAAAATATGGGAAACTGATGATGAACCTCAGGATTTTATTTGAGTTTTCCATATTTTTCCATTGTGTTTGCACGGTGTTTCCTCCAAATCTTCGACATCCCACCTCCAAGTTGCTCAAGATGGAGAAGTCCCCAACAGAAGCTGTGGTTTTCACCTCTTCCTGCGTACGAAAAAATAGATGGGGATGGGTCAAGTTACCTATTGCAATCCTATTACCATATTTGGGGAATACACATCCATCATCATCCATCATTCATCCATCAACCAGCTATGACTTAGGGTACCATCCGGGTCGGGTTTTGACCCATACATTTGGACCAAAGTGAAGGCCTCCGTTGGGCGGTGGTGATACAGTAATGATTCTGCTTCTGGATCTTATCCCCACACCAATGGCAATCCCAAGTATTCAATCAAACATCAACAATCGAAATCAGGATCAATTTTTCAATGTCACTGATGGCCATTTACAGTGATACAATACTGTGAGAAGACTCCTCATTTTGACATCATGGCTCTCACTGTCATGGACCGGATTCCACCCTACTCCCATCACTAAATCATTAAGTCTCCATAAAGTCAGAATTAAATCACTATAAAAGCAACATTAAATCACCATAAAATCAGCCATGGCTCACCTTTCTCCCACTGTGCCGCCTGGACATCGTTCGTATCGCGCAAGCGCCACACAAAGCGCGCTGCTGGAAGCACGGCCCCGCGCCGCAGCATGCGATGCAACAGGGCGCCTGAAACGCAAGAATGGCATTTGCAATGGCATTATGTCATGTCCTTAAAAAATCAACATACCTGAGAAGGGAGGGGACGAAAGCCAGCCCCCACGGCTTGCAGGGGCACGAAGGGGATTCAGAATTAACATGTGACACAGTCAGTGTCTGTGACTACTGTAGTCTTGTTTACGCCCATCTGACCACACATCTCTGTTCACAAAAAACACCCCCTATATCAGTTTCGCCATTGCTTCGCCTTGTACACACCCCAACGAAAGTCACAAAAAAGATACTTCCTAGAGTAGTTTCACCATAGGTTCGCATCATACAAACCCTCCAGCCTAAGCCTTCGGTTTTCTTCTGTACATGTGAATGTACACATGTATATGTATATGTACGAGTGTATACTATGAGAAGGATATACACTGGCACTCAAGAAAACCAATACACCACAACGAAGGTCACACAAAAAAAAAACGTTGCCCCCTTTCAACATGAGTCCTCGTGTTGTTGTTCTTGTGTGGTGGTTTTTGTTTAACAACAGTCACAAAAAAAAAAACGAGAGTCACTTCGCCAAAGTTTCGCCTTATACTGACCACTGTTGTTGTTATTGTAGTGGTAGTGGTAGTGGTAGCGGTAGCGGTAGCGGTAGCGGTAGCGGTAGGGGTGGTGGTGGTGGTGGTGGTGGTGGTGGTGGTGGTGGTGGTGCTGGTGCTGGTGGTGGTGGTGGTGGTAGTAGTAGTAGTAGAAGTTGTTGTTGTTGTCGTTGTCGTTGTCGTTGTTGTTGTTGTTGTTGTCGTGCTTCTTATTCTTTTTCTTCTTCTTATTCTTTTTCTTATTCTTCTTCTTCTTCGTTTTCTTCTTTGTTTTCTTCTTCTTCTTCTTCTGACCTCTGTTGTTGTTGCTGTTGCTGTTGCTGTTGCTGTTGTCGTCGTCGTCGTCGTCGTCGTTGTTGCGGTTGCGGGTGCTGTTCTTGTTCTTATTGTTGTTCTTGTTCTTGTCCCCGCAGCTTTTTGCTCAGTCTCGTAGTGGCGGAAAATCGTCAAATAGATTGTGTTTTCACGCTTTTTGGACACTTTCCGAGCATAAAACACCGCAAATACCACTGTTTTTGGCGCCTCGGAAGCACAAAACCACAGTATTTACGATGTTTTGTGCCTCTGGTAGCAAAAATCACGGTATTTACAGTGTTTTTTGGCCCACACCCTAGATTAGCTTCGCCACAGCTTCGCCTTATACAGACCCGCCTTCGGCTGGCGTTCGTAATATACATATACATATATATATACTAAGGATATCTAAGAATGGATAAACATATATGATCATATATGTACTACCCTCCAGTAAATTAACATAGACCCTGGCAGATACGGGTTGGAAGACTAGTTTCCATCAAAAATTGGTGATTTTCAGGGTCCCGGGTCCATGTTAATTTACCAGGGGGTAAGACTTACTAAGAATTATAGATAAACATGTCGCACTTTTCTCACATCTCAGTGCATCTGGTCTCCCCTGAGGCCATGTACCATCATGTACCCAACCACTCCCCAGCCTGGTCGAACAATTACCCGCAACAGCTCATCTCCCGGATGAATCTGAAGAATCCATGCCTGCTGCTCCTCGCCAGCGTTGTGTCATTCCAACTTCCATTCCTCGTCCCAGCTTTGAAGTTAAATTATCATTCAAAATAAAATATGAAAAACAATCACACAGTATCGGTACTTAAACGTTCTCAAACCGCATCCAATGAGTCATCGGTCGATGCATAGGTTGGCGCATCCCATTGCGCGGCACCTTGTCCCCCATCTGGGTGATGACGCTCTGCGGCGCTATGATCGGCAGCTGCTCTTCTTTTGCAGCACTGGGAATCTGAGCACATGGCACAGTCTCTGGACAATTGGTACCCTCTGGTAATTTAACATAGCCATTGAAAATGGCCATTTATGGTTGATTTACCTATGAAAAATGGTGATTTTCCATCGTTATGCTTGTTTACCAGAGGGTAGATGGTTTGGACTTTCATTTTGAAAAAGCACAGAAGAAGCTTGAACATGTCACGTGCAAAATATCATACATTGGACGCTGTGGTCAAGCAATCGAGTATGTAAACATATGTAAACTCTTTTGACGCCTGAACCATCCTCGCTCTTTTGGATGGTTATCCCCCATTTTCCGGCTCAAAACCGCGCAGGATAAAAGCCATGGTGGTACCCTGATGAGCATTAGAGTAGATATACTTATATATATACACACGTATATACACATATATATATATATACATACATACAAACATATACATACATGATATAGGTTAAAACATACGTATATTATAGCATATTATAGCTGATAAACTGATGTGCACAAAGTTAAAACGTATATCATTTTTTGTCAAAAAATATCATTAAATCATCATTAAATCATATATCCCTAGGAAAATGATGAATCTTCACCTTGCAACGGCGCCTGCAGAAACTTCTCCACCGTGCCAAGGACAGAGTTCTCATGTCGCCGGGAGGCGAACAAGCAGCGAGTCCTGTCAGACGCTCCATAGCGGGGATACCCCAATTAGCTGGATGGTTTTTGTTATGTAAAATCCATAAAAATCCTGTTAGATCCTGTTAGAACGGATGATTTAGGGGTACCCATTTATTTTGGGGACCTCCATATGTGTCGACAGTATCTATACTGGATGGGGAGGAAATGAAAGTGAGAGAGTTGGCATGCCGCTAAATTTTGGGACAAACAGTCGTGGATGTTCATGCATGGAGTTCATCGCACTTCCTGAAGTGCAGAGAAAGATGCAAGAAAATTCACGATTTAAATTGGTCTATTGTCCAGCTGTCAAGAATGCGTAAAACCCATGAACTGGTTTTTTCTCCAAATACATGCAGGTGATTTCTTACAGTTCTTGAATGGGACGTCGACATTCCGGTTTCCGGGTCCAATAAACACTCCTCTGACTAGAAGGATTTGGATCGATTGCTGCCGGGCACCCAAAAAAAAACTTTGCAACCGGCCATCAGAATCATGTGGCAGTTTCTTCCTCTTTGAAGTGATCCTTCATTATTCATTCTTCTGCCGAGCTGCCCGAGTGCAGTGTTGTTGCCAGTGATGTCCAGCCAAATATCTGGGGGAAATGTCCTGCACACATGAGCACGATCCTGCTGCCTCTCCGTGAAGGACACAATCATCGTCGTGGTCGTCGTCGTCATCATCATCGTCATCGTCATCATCATCAAAGTTATGGTAATTCATGGTAGTTCCATGTGCTTTTCTCCATTCATGTTTTTTTTGTGTGTTGTGTGTGTGCGTGTGTGTCAGCAATTGGAAGATGATTACTAAGTTCAATCTGGTCCACACTGATGTTTTCATCACATTCCCATAAACTCAGCGGCAGCCCAAAGTCAAACTATTATGTAGTTTTAGAAATGTCAGGTCACACATCGGTACATTGAAAATGAATGATTGACATGTGCTGCCATGCATGTTTGCTCACCCAACAATACGAACGTCTGAAGTTCTTGTCCACCACTGAGAAGAGTAAAGTAGTTAGTAGTTAGCAAGCAAAATCAGGAGATGTGAAGGATATTGGATAATATTAGATCCAAAACCGGTGCCCAGAACTTCATTCATCTGACTCAAAGTATGGTCTGCAAACTTCCAAGGTCCGCACCTGAAAATGTTCTTTCCAGAGGTCCGAAGGGGTACTTTTGCCTCCAACAACAGCACGCTGTCCATTAGATTGGGCAGGGGCACTGGCGCAGCATAGATCCTGCATTCCTTGGGACTTTGGGCCGGAACTCAGGTGGATGTTGTTGGAAAGGAGGAAAAAATGGGAAACTATAGAAAACCCGTAGAAAACCCATGTCAGATTGAAAATGTTTGGAAAACGATGGAAAACGAAAGGATTCTCCAAACGCTGGCGGGTACTATGGGTTGCAACTCACTCTGTTCCACTCTGTTCCGTTTTCACTGAGTTTGCGTCCAACCCCTCGCCGTCAGCGTCGACAAGACCAGCGTCTGAAGCCTGATTTTGTGTACCCCACGTGTTCTCCATGTGGCCAATTTGCCATACTATGAACAAACTTCTTTCCACCAGGAAAAAAAATGATCATCGTCCAAATCTTTCGGGGGGTCTTCTGCATGTTCGTTTCGGTGTGACTTATATATATATATATAAACCATACTGACCTCATACATCTCATACTGACCCCTGGAAGGTTCCTCTGCAACCCAATGCCACGCAAGGTTTGTCAACAAGCGCCTCTACGTTGCTGGGTTTCAGGTTGAAGCTGCTCCTTGGTTCGAGCAGAGCTCAACCCAAGTTGCTGGTTTCGAATATGTCAAATCTGAAATACCAATCGGGCACAAACAATGGACCATGCTCGACTTTTGAATGTCAAAACTGGAGTGGTTTCAAAACAAAGAGTCCTCAAAGATGTTTCTGAGCAAGTGTGTGTGTTTGTGCGAAAGCCCAACTTCCCTTTTTTTCCAAGAGATTCCAAGAGTCAGTGTCAAGAGATTCTGCCCCAAGCCGGCACGTGCGGGGCTCGGCAATGGTGCCTGAGGTACCAGAGACACTTGCGACGCCGGCAGCTCGGCTTCAGACGGCCTCAAATGGCGAAATGGAAACGGTGGAAAGCGGGTGAAATATGTAGGAAACCGGTGAAACAACCTGTTGTCGTTGTTGTTGTTGTTGCAACCTTGTGACCTCTGGACCCATGCTTGACCCATAACATATATAACATCCCATAACTAAGAGATACATAGAGATACTAAGAGTCAAGGAACGGAAGCTTGAACATCTGCTTCAGGTCGTGGCATTGGGCTGCCGGGCGGGATCGCTTCCTTTGATGCTGAAGAGGCATTCATTCAGGTAAAACAGGGTTCAGGAACGAAAATGTGATGAGACCACTAGCAGTTCCAAACACTGTATTCAGTATTCATGGTTTCTTCACTCCCAAATCGAAAATATACTGGTGGATTTTGGAATGATTTAGATGCCATTGGATTCGATGCGTCTTCAATTCTTGGACATTCCCGTCACCTTAGAATTCATACCAAGCATCCTTCCTCTGGTCTCCTGAACCTCCTCTGCCTGAGCTTCCCCGGCTTCTTCAACTTCCTCTTCCTCCTCTTCCTCCTCTTCGTCAAGCTCGTCTGGCTCTTCTGGCTCCTCGCAGATGACGAGATGTTCTGGATCTTGCTGTGAATGGGTCGGGGGGGTCACCTTGACCTGAGCCAAATGTCCATCTCGTTGGACCACCACCAGCCCTCGGGTCACCGCGTTATGCGATGGCCTGTGAGTCTTGGCTCCTCTACCTACACAAATGTGTATGATTGAATGTGTATATAACATAATCAACTGATATTGACTGTGCATAGATACATAATATATAATAATTAGATACTACAGAGATTCATACAATGTTCAATGATATTCAATGTACATAGACTTACATAGATATACACAATAATATTCAGTAGCTGCACTGCAGGCTGTACCAGAGGCGTTACTGTGATAGGCCTGCCCTTCCCGGCCACCAGGCGCCTCTTTCGGAAGAGTTTCAGCCCACATTTCCTGCTGATAGGGTGATTATAGGGTGCTTATTGGGTGATTCAGTTGTATCTGTTGTTTAAAAGTTGTTTAATTGTTGTTTTATAGGGTGATCCTCCTCGTTTGCTGCGACTAGTCGTCCGGCCACAAGCCCATTCCATGTAAGTCATTGCATTTGCATGCATTTGCCACATAAAATGAATTCAAACAGGAACAGGCGCGGGGTTACGGGGTTGGTAATTCTGACTGTCTCCACGCAAAGCCTCGCTGCGAGGAAACGTACAATTAGTTTCGCCACATCAATCACCATCCGCCATCAGAGATGGGTTGCTCCAACAACACTCAGATCCGGGGTCCTCTTGTTCAACTTGTTCAACCATCTCTGGATGAATCACAACAGTTGCAACGTAGACCCCCAACCCGTTGCTTTTCAGCAGCACTAACTGGAGCCAGAACCCAAGTCAAATGCAAAGTCAACCAAAATGGCCGGAAACCTATAGTCCGTTTCAAACAAACACTTCACAGAAACTTTGTATAATTGTCCTGAACTGCTGCTGCAACAAATCATTAAAAAGGAAAGATCGTGTAGGCCCACGTTGATTTTACGTACATCTGTACATGCCAAGATCGAGGTAAGCACCCAATGATAGAATCTGATAATACACCCATGAGGTCCAAGTGCAACTGGCGTGCGGGATGTCTTCGGAATGTCCAGGTTTAAGTAATCGCCAAGGTTTGTTGTCGCATCATGGCGTTGGTTGGCGATGTCCCCGGTGTGATTTGTTGTGCTCGCCGGATTTCCGGATTGTATCAAACCGTCATGATGATAAAGTTGCTGATCGGATGAAGCACACATGGAAGAAAATGATGAATGTTCAGAAGTTCGACGTGTTCATTGAAGTATACTGTGCTGCGCAGCATGAGCTGGGTCAGCTCAGGATATCTTCAGTTCCTTCCAACCTTTTCCAACTCTGAACAGCACGGAAAACTCATGTAGGCTCATGGAGGCTCAGCACATATTGCATCAAGGGAGTGATCCCCAAACAGCATCCGTGACATTCCATGACTGCCCATTCAGCAACATCATGGAAGACAATCTTTCTGCAGCTAAACTACAGCATGTTAAAGTTGTGTTCAGGGATGCGAGCTGTGCACTCCCAATTTCCACGAGGTCTCCGGTTCCCTCCGAAAAGCGCCTGTCGGAGACAAGGGACATCAAGAAAGGAACCCCACAGAATTCTGTCAATACTTCTCCCAACATTCAATGGATTCAATGCGAGCACACAGGTGTTCACAGATGTTCACAGTGCATGAAAGCTATGCTGACTGCACTTTGGCAGATGCATTGATGTGCAGCTGCTTCTTTTGCAGCATCTGCACCAGATATTTTTGCAGATTGGCCTTTTTCAAGCTTCTGGCATCTTCTGGCCTTGCTCTCCATCTGCTCTTGATGGTTCAGAGTGGAGTCTAGCAAGTTTTGAAAAACGTCCCTTTGTTGACATCTTGCTTGCTCGATTTCAAGCAATTTCTTCTCGTGCGTCAACAAAAGCTTGCTACATCTTGCCACATCTTGCCACTATGCCCTTACTCTGTAAGGAGTGTTCCACAGTCTGGAGCCACATGCTCATGGTGTAGCACGGGTGCATGATTTCATCTTGGCCTGGCCAGTTCGGAAAATGGCACCACAAACAAGATGGGGTTCATATGCCATTATATTCATTACATTTCATTACTAATAAATATGTACATATAATATATGTATATATAAATAATATAAATATGATTAAATATGAATATATATGAATAGTATTAGGCATCATGTTATACGCATACACGCTTGTACACGTAATCATAATGGTTGTCAATGGTATCTTCCTCATATCATGTCACAACAATATCACTATCACAAGGGGCTTCGGACCCATTTCCTTACTTCACGCTCCTTCAAACGGATAGATTATATTGTCGATTTTTTGGGAGTACCATCCTGTTCTAAAATGCTTTTGTGGGAATGCTGACCCGTGTCACTGCAGTCCCTGGAAGGGCAAAGGTCTAAAGAAAGAACCCCATCAAACCTTGAAATCGGCTGGGTATATTTCAGTTGTTGCTTGCTTATTCGAGCATTGGCAACTTGATGATGTTGTTCCCAAGGCAAGCGCCTCCATGTCAGGTGCCTTCGTAAAGCAGCAGGAACTTAACCTTCACTTGTCAGGTCAGTCTCAAGTTTGTGACCCGATCAGTAGGAACACAGGGATCAAATTCTAGCTAGAGTATGCCATGGTTGCGCCAAATCCTGCTCTGAAGAATGTAAAAATCCACGTGTCATCACGTGTCTGACTTTCCCGTACATCACGCTGTTCGCCATCAATCCTTCTTCCAGCTTCACCCGCCAGCCTCGGCCACCGCTACCTCTCTTTCGCCCGATCTACAGGTGCCTATTCTCATCTCCTGGTCAGAACGTGGGCACGCAGTATATAATTTGATGTAAGATTGCATCACATCGCAGGTAAATGATGAAAAATGATGTTGCACTCAGAATGTACCCCTTGAGGCCCACTTGCCATCCCCGATAATTTCTGCCCATCACTAGCAGTCCTCACTTGTGGATGCTCAAGATTTGTCCCAATCGTAGCTGGTAGATCGAAAGGAATACCAGGGATTCAACGTTTGATGTTCAATGATTTCAAATGGACCACATGTTGGTCCTTGATTTCTAGATATGGATGAAACAGTGTCAAAACCCTGCATCAGAACAGCATAGAACAGCCGCATTCTGAACCCTCCGAATGCCCTCCGATGAAATTTAGAAGAGTAGCAGCTTTGACGCAAAGGGTAAATCCATGTAAATCCCATTCCCTCCACTGTGATTGGAACAGCTTTCACACTTCACCAATCCATTAAACATATTAAACTGAAAGCTGATCTTGAGAATCACCCTCTTAGCTTCAGCAAACTTGAACTCTGCCATGAAATCTGCTTTGCTCACACACTTTTTGCATCTTTTTGCCATTTCCCCAAGCCGCATCTGCTGCTGAATGGGCATCAAAAAGACGAGGACTCGGGGCGCTGTTCAGCTCGGGACTCACCAGTAGAGGGTGTCAGGGAAGAAGCGCTGGATCTCAATGATACCACCTGTCAAAAGAACTGCTATGGGTATCAAATGTGTCAAGGTTGTCTGCTGTAAAATGTCATGTCATGTCTCACATCTCATCTCATCTTGCAATGGATTGACTGGAAAATCCACATGTTTCGGCGGGTAAGTAATTAATACTAATTATCCATTGCTTTGCTTACCAAAGGTGAGCATTCGTCCATTTTTCACAAAGGAAAAATCCACAGATTTCGCACATCTCTATCATCCCTGGGCCACCCCTGGGCCTACGGTGAAAAGGGCAATGAAGGAGAAGAAGTTCACGTTCAAGGACAGCCTGAGAAAATTCGACCGCTCAGCGATCTGTGACCCTGTACATCTTATGTCACTGGTTCATACTGGTTCCACCTTCTCCGTGCTTCCGAGGCAGAGACCATGCTTTGATGTCATCAGACTGGACAACTGGGGTGATGTAGTTGACCTGGCACGCAAACATGGGAACCACAGATGGGACTTCAACACAACAGGCTCAAGTGGATTTCGGGCCCTGCCGTGTCATGCATGCTGCGGGTATTTCGGATTGGCGTTCTCTCAAATCTGGGAAATTTCCTTATCTTAGCCACCGCATAATCACCACAAGGTTTAAAGAATTTCTGCCGACCTGGGGCAGAGGCAGAAGAGAATTTTTGGATCAAGATCTTATGCCAGACTGCTGGCAAGGTATGATTTTGGGTTTTAATTGTACAAGAGAACAGCATGAATTGTAAGAAATTGGAAATACGTATTTCCCACACGTTTTATCTGGACATTTGGCCACGGTGTTCCCTGCAAGCCATTCCAGAGATCAAACAGGAAGAATTTGGATCTACTGTGCTATACTGCGTTCCTGACCTGATTGCTAGCCCCTGTGCTGTACTGAATCTCAGGCTGGTCCCAGTCGTTGGTCTTGAACACCTTGGTTGCAGCTTCGAGGAAAATTCCGGCAAACCGACGGGCAGCTGCCAATGGACTGTGGGTGTTTGCTGTCACTGGTCACTGATAGAATGTCTTGTTGAAGAAATCCTTCGATGAATCTTTAGATTGAAAGGAATACCTTCAGAAAACCTGTGGTGTCAACTTCCCCACTCTTTTCCTTCTACAATACAGAAAGGATCAAATTCCACTCATTGTCGCGCCTATGAAAACTGACAAGGGACCACTCGTGGAGGGTTGTTGAACTTGTCCCTCTTCACGACCTTGCCGGTCTCCTCTGGCTTGATCAGCACCAATCCCTCATCTCGCCTTGTGCCAAGGTGCCAAGCCGGGACCCAAGATCTTAGGGAAATCCACTGGTCTCAAGAACATATACATATTAATTATGTAGTGCATCTAATCTACGTATGTTGATTCTGATACTAATATATCATGTATAAAATATATAAAATGATATGATATGAAATAATATAATATCATATAATATACTATACTATACTATAATATAATATAAAATAACATAATATAATATATAATAATAATATAATATACTATAATGTAATACAATATAATGTAATATAATATAATCAAATATAATATAATATAAAATAATATAAAATAATATAATATAATATAATATAATATATAATAGTATAATATAATATACTATAATGTAATCTGATATAATATAATACAATATAATGTAATATAATATAATTATACAAAATATAATGTAATATAATATGATATAATATAATAAAATATAGTATGATGTAATCTGATATAATATAATAAAATAAAATAAAATATAATAATATAATACAATCTAATTTAATATAATATAATATAATTTAATTAAATATTTTATAATTTAATATAATAATATACTATAATATAATAAATATAATATAATATAATATAATATAATATGATATAATATGATATAATATAGTATAATATAATATGATATAATATAGTATAATATAATATAATAAAATATAATATAATATAATATAATATAAAATAATATAATATAATATAAAATAATATAATATAATATGATATAATATGATATAATATAGTATAATATAATATGATATAATATAGTATAATATAATATAATAAAATATAATATAATATAATATAATATAATATAAAATAATATAATATAAAATAATATAATATAATATAATATATGTTTGTATGTATGTATGTATGTATGTATGTATGTATATATGTATAATATATATATATATATTACGCGCATATAATACACACATATATATATATATATATTTCTTGTTTATTGTTATTATATATCCGGTTGCAAGCCACATGAGCGACAGTGCCGCAGGGTAGCAGGATCACTTTGGAACACAGTCTGAAGCGTCACTTTGGAACACAGCCATTTTAGCCTCACTTTGGAACACAAAATGATGCACATCATCAAAACAATGCCAACCACACAGACATGAGATTTACTGACGGGCGCGCTACTTTGGAAGCCTGGCGCGTTCCAAAGCGAGGTCAGGACCAAAAAAAGGCCTCCTATGAAAATTATAGTCGTTAGAAAGCCAAGCATCTTCAAAATGCGCACCCTCACTCACTTGCGCACCCAGGAGCAAAATGTCACTCACTTGCGCACCCTGATCATCTCTCATTCATGTTCCAGTGGGGTGGGGTGGGGTGGGGTAATAACGTTCATGTTCCTGTGCACACACAGGCACAGCAACCTCATCATCTTTCTTGCTGTCCAGCAGACGCAGGCACTGCTCTTTCATGATCAGTTACCGGTGGGGGGGGGGGGGGGGGGCGAGGTGGGACAATAACGTTCATGTTCCTGTGCACACACAGGCACAGCAACCTCATCATCTTTCTTGCTGTCCAGCAGACGCACGCAGGCACTGCTCTTTCATGATCAGTTATCGGTGGGGTGGGGTGGGGTGAAGTGGGACAATAACGTTCATGTTCATGTACACAGACAGGCACAGCAACCTCATCATCTTTCTTGCTGTCCAGCAGCCACAGGCACTGCTCTTTCATGATCAGTTACCGGTCGGGTGGGGTGGGGTGGGGTGGGGTAATTAATAACGTTCAGGTTCCTGTGCACACACAGGCACAGCAACCTCATCATCTTTCTTGCTGTCCTGCAGACACAGGCGCTGCTCTTTCATGATCAGTTACCGGTGGGGTGGAGTGGGGTGGGGAGGGACAATAACGTTCATGTTCCTTCACCGAACATTAAGAAGGAGGATCAGCACGCTGCGCGTATTGGGGATGATGATGCTGCTGCTGATGATGGTGATGATGACGCTGATGATGATGATGATGATGATGATGATGGTGATGATGATGGTGATGATGATGATGGTGATGATGATGATGGTGTTGAGGAGGAGGAGGATTATGCACATGTCAAAAAAGAAGAAACACGATGATGATGATGGTGATGATGATGATGATGATGATGATGGTGATGGTGATGATGATGGTGGTGATGATGGTGGTGATGATGGTGATGATGGTGATGATGATGCTGATGATGCTGATGATGATGCCGATGATGCTGTTGATGCAGATGCTGATGCTGAGGATGATGATGATGATGATTATTATGAAATATGGCCTTAGACGGCGATGAAGATCATGATGATCAGACGCGTTCCAAAGCGATGCTTGAGACCGCGTTCCAGAGCGACGCTTTTGAACCCGTTCCAAAGCGATGGCCCAACCGTACCGCAGTATGATTCCATGGTGTCTACTCCTGTGAATGGTGTCTATTCTTGTGAATGGATTTGGACACAAGCATCATGGACCAGAATGAAATGAATATGAAACCTTGGCGTAGAATGAGATGTTTCTACCCAATGAAGTCATAGAAGCGCACGTATGTCTGCACCCACTCGCCGTAAGCGAGAGTTGAAGACTCAACTGCACCATAAATTTAAACCACGCTTTGACCGTTCAACAAACAACCGGACCAAGTCGCAACGAGCTGGCTAGCAGTAGCTATTACCTATTTGTTGTTGTGAGTGTAAGCCAGAGTGAAAACAAAGACTCTCTAGTGCCATGCAAGCTCAACAGTCTTTGGGGACGTTGGCCTGTCAACTGGGTTCTCCCCACAGGCACGCGGCTGTTAGAAAGTGTTGGCATCTATGAAGAATCGTTGGGACTTGGTAAAATTAGAAAACTCACTCACCATATCAAATGGTAGTGTGATCCTTTGAAAGCATTTCGACAACCAAAAAAGAATATATAGACTGTCAACCAATCTGACTATTTGTGCCAGGAAGCTCGTCCACTGCCCTGGTTGCAGTTTGGCTGCCTGGGCTTTCAAAGAATTAATGAAATGGTTGCCATGCAAGCAGTTCACTTTGCTAAATCTTGATAGATCTTGATGGTGGTTTGCCATCAATGGCATTCCCTTCATGCCCAATCTGGAGTCCAAAATTAAACCATCTACGATGCATGGTCAGCCTGAAGTCTTCGGAAATGCATAGGATCGAGTATTCGCAAGTCACAATATTCACAATTCAATTTTGAGCGTCAGATCTTCCATTTTGAAACTTAAATGACTCTTCTCACAACCAAGATGCGAAGGCTCTGAGTTGGGGCATTGGCAAAGAGCAGCCTGGCGGTCAACACATGTCAACATGACCGCCTTCAGCCACCTTTGGGCCCCCATAGCCCCATGGCTTGAGACAAACCCACCAATTTCCTCAACTCCAGACCCTCCAAGCCACAGAAGCGACGCCCCCACTGGGTGCTGGCACGTGGAAACGTGGCTGCCAAGCAATGCACCTTGTTGATCAGTCTGTTGGGAGTTCGAAATGAAGGAATGGGGATGGCCACCCAGAACGGGGTATCAAAGGACTTGAGAAATTGATCACATTTGGTCATTTGGGGTGTTAAACAATGTCAAACAATCCACTTTGACTTTAGCCATCAATCTCTAGCAGGGTTACTAAACTGCCAATTTTGGGTGCTCAAGAAACTTGAGCCATAGCCAAATGGTGGAGGATGGCCACGATCTTGTCCCTGAACAGAAGGAAATGGCAACAGTACTTTGGGTCACTAAAGGCCACGATTGACAAACTGAAACATGTTCCCTTCTCTGCTGTGTTCTCTCGACTCTTGTTCCAAAGTAATTTCCCATATGTGTCCCTCCACTTCTGGCTAGTGACTAGTGAAATTGAGAGGTGTGTGGTGTAGGATGCAGAAGTCGCAACTAGCAGGATAGGATAGCAATGGCAACAAAATGGAAAATCAATGGAACATATATAATGTATCAAAAGAACACACCCAGATTTGTGACGCCATCAGAGCCCGGCGAATACGTACGATTTCCAGCTTGCTTGGCGAGTAGGAATTTACTCATGGACCCCCCACCCGTGCCAAGAGCGATTTGTTACAGTTCATGGGTCAAAAGACATCAAAAGACCCAGGGAGCACAACATGGCGGGGCACCGGCGACCAGAAGCAGCAAACCACCGAGTCGGGCCATGGCTCACCTTAGGAAAGCATCCAAAAGCAACATGAAAACCAGCAAGTTTGGCAACTCCACCCAAATAACAACATGAAAATTGATCAAAATTGCCTAGTTGAGAGGGAAAACCAATGCCGGGTTTTTGTAAAAACTGTGCTCCGTAAATTGAATGGGAGATTTAGACCTGAGAAAACTACACTCGCATGACTAGTGCTTCCATTGCTTGTCACTCGCACAATGCTGCGCAATGATTGCTTCACCCAGAGATGCAGCATTGGCCCTTAGAACTCCGATAACCGCTGCTCAAGGCAGCCTTGTTTTCGGTATAATTACTCGCCCTTGCACCCAAGTGCCAAGAGACAATGATGTGGACGAGGAGGGGACTAGCTGAGTGAGCCTTGAGCCCTAAGAGTCTTCGAGAGGAAAAGGCAGTGGCATCACTGTGTGAAACCTCGAGTTTTCAAGATTCAGAGTTGCGTTGGTGTCTACAGTAGAGGATCAGTAGAGGTACTCACTTCTTTGAACAAGGATCTTCAGATGTTGTCAAAACATCTCCCATCACTAGACTTTCACCCAAGATTTCCCTTTACAGAACACGGCAGGTTCCACCGGCACCCGGTGGCCGTCTCCTCGTTGCGCCAGGAGGGCATGCCCGGGGTTTCCCGCATGTTCGGGCACCTACCGTAGCAACACTCTGCCCAGCCACCGGACATGGTTCCCAATGTTGAAGTTTTACATCGCAGCGGTGATGAGCAGTGGGCAGGAAAATTACACAACAACATACCCAAGACAAACACGAAGAAGAAGAAGAAGAAGAAGAAATATGACGAAACCTGAGAAGGGGGGAACGAAAGCCAGCTCTCATAATGAAAACCCCTGCGCTCTGTTGGTGGCTTACGTATTTTCAATCTCTCGGGCAGTATATTTTTCTCCATCTATATATTTGTTTCATTGGGCTGAAGCCGGACTGAGGGGGAACCGATGCCCTATTGCAGCAAACTTCCTGCGCGTAACACCTTCAAAATTGGAATTCTTCTATTGGAGCAAACCCGTAAGCATCACGACTGAGAGCATTAAACTTCCTGCCCCGAAAACCTTCAAAATTGGAGTTCTCTAGCTGCAGCAAACCCGCAAGCATCACGACTGCGCGTACTCCAGGTCGCCTTCCTAAAACTCTGTTGGTCAGCTACGCATCTCTAGTCTCTTAGGCAAAAAACTCGCTCTATCGATTTCTCTGACTGGCTGCTTAGCTCACCACGAAAACCCAAACCGAGGGGGAATCGATACCCTAGCGCAGCCAATTTTCAGCGCAACACCTTCCAAACCAAGAGCCTAACATGGATCAACATAGGCCCAACATAGGCTCCATATACGCCCAAAAACGGCGTGTTCCTTTTGGGCCGGGTAAAGGCTTAAAAGGAACACGCCGTTCTTGGCTTAAGACAAGCTCAACATGGCACGAATATGGGCCCAACATAGCCTCCAAGAGCCTAACATGGATCAACATAGGCCGAGCATAGGCTCCTTATACGCCCAACATGGTCCAAAAACATCCAAAAACGACGTGTTCCTTTTGGGCCGGGTAAGGGCTTAAAAGGAACACGCTGTTCTTGGCTTAACATAAGCTCAACATGGCCCGAATATGGGTCCAACATAGCCTCCAAGAGCCTAACATGGACCAGCATAGGCGGAACATAGGCTCCACATACGCAGGTGGCACCGAGCCTCTCAGGTGGCACGGCCACGTGCAGCATGGCAACAGGGGCAGTCAAAACGCAACAAGGTGTGCTAGCGCTGTTGACTACTGTCACTATGCGTGCAACCAGTTAAGTCAGAACATACGTCAGAAGAATTTCTCAGCCTATAGCCATCCATCTGTCTACCATCCTATCAGTCTATCTCTCACTCTATCCACTGGTTCATGTCCACGTCTCCATCTCAAATCAAGCGCGCTAGCTGTCAGCCGCTTGTAGCCAAAGAGAGATGACGTGACGATCTATTTTCAGCACAGGCATAGCTGTACGTATGTCAGGTTGTCATTGCAGCCTGCTGCCGGAAAAGCTTCCATGACCTGTAGCCACCTAGCTATCTATCTATCAACCTATCTGTCCAGCCTTCCGTCAAGCTATCCATGCATCAACCTAAAACACTCTCTCTCTCTCTCTCTCGATGCCAACATCTCTGCATCTACGTAGCTATGCGAAGCTCATGCTATCATGTGGTGCTTCTGCCCCTATTCGGCAATCTGTCTCTCGATCTCTTCATGCATCCCTCAAGTAACATATGTATCTATCGATCTAGCACGGTATCTACCTATGGAGCTCCACACACCTTGCAGGCTCCTGCTGCTGGAAGCAACTGCTTTGGGCGTTGCTTTTGGCTGCAGGCTATCGATCTATCCGCATATCTATCTATCTATCTACCTACCTATCTATCTGTCTGTCTGTCTATCTATCTATCGATTCTATCTATCTATCGATTCTATCTATCTATCTATCCTATCTATTCTATCTATTCTATCTATTCTATCTATTCTATCTATTCTATCTATTCTATCTATTCTATCTATTCTATCTATTCTATCTATTCTATCTATTCTATCTATCTATCTATCGATTCTATCTATCTATCGATTCTATCTATCTATCGATTCTATCTATCTATCGATTCTATCTATCTATCGATTCTATCTATCTATTCTATCTATCTATCTATCTACCTATCTATCTATCTATCCATCCACCCATCCATCCATCCATCTATCTATCAACCTATCTATCTCCCTGTCTGTCGATCTATCGGTCTATCGGTCTATCGATCTATCGATCTATCCGTCTATCTATCCACCTATCTATCTATCTGTCTGTCTGTCTGTCTGTCTATCTACCTCTCTATCTCTCTATCTATCAATCTATCTCTCTATCCATCTATCGATCTATCTAAGTGGCTTATCTCTCGGTCCACACATAATCTATATCTGTCTGCTTCTCCTCTATCCGTCTGTCTATCTATTCTATCATATTCTATCTATTTTTTCTACTCACTACTCTCCATCTATCTGTAAACTTAATCTATTTTTCTACTCTCCATCTATCTATAAACCTATTGACGTCTCCAAGATTATCTCTCTGTCCATACATACGTCCCGTCTAGGCGCAATACGGTTCCAAAATGACCTAAAAGCGGCGTGTTCCTTTTGGGCATAACATGCAAAGGAACACGCCATTCTTGGTCGAACGTAAGCACTATCTGCTCTCTTGTCTACCCGGTTACCCCCAATAATCACACACCAGAAGGCCCAATAATCAGGGGGGGAATCGATACCCCACCGTCACCCATTTGCCACCTGGTACGTAACCCTGCAAAACGTTCCCAAAACCCACCCTAAACACCAACTGAGGCTGCCAAATTTGGCCCGTTCGTCAAGGGATCCCCCCAGACCCCCTAATCTCTCACTACGTTCGCAAACAACAACGAGTCAGCCTGTCCGGCTGGCTTTCGTAACAAAGAGCCAAAAAAACAAAGCGGAACTGGAAGGAGTCGAACCTCCAAAACAATATTCATCAACGCACTTGGAATCAAATACACAGCACCACATCCAATGCGCAAGAGGTCCTGACATGCTTTCAAAAGAGAAGACAGTCGGATATCATAAAACACAACAATGTTGTCGGTTGCTGGAAAATGAAGATAGGATGAAGATGTTGCAGAAAAGGATGATTGAAACGGAGGTAGGACGGGCACCCTTCAGAAGGATCAGCACATCTTTTCCTCCACACCTTCAACAGCAAGTGGTACCAATGCTCAGTCTAAACCTGGCCAAGAGGGAAAGAAAGACATGCTTTGACCAGCAGAAGCTTGTTGAAGCGGCAGCGTTAACGACCTGGGTCATTTTAATGTTTTTTGGGACGTTGCATCGAAGTATTGCACGTCTCATAGAAGTATGGCACGTCTCATAGAAGTATGGCACGTCTCATAGAAGTATTGCACATCTCATAGAAGTATGGCACGTTTCACAAGTCCCGTAATCACGGTGTTTTTGGAACTCTCTCTAAAGTTCTGGAGTGACGCAAAGCAGTTCATTCCAAGGCAAGTTGGTGGTAAAAATACTGCCATGAGATGTTTGAACCAGAGACTCTGGGACTATGTGTATGCCTTTCAATGGAGAAAGAACAACAAAGGTTGTCTCTGGAAGGCTGTGGGGTAGCTGGCACGTCAGAGACAAAAAAAGAGGCCGACTGCATTTCACAGATGAGCAAACTGTCCAGGTCATTATTATGGAACCGCACTCGGAGAACAGCTGGAAGCTTTAACGAGTACCATCGCATCATCAATGAAAATGGACTTTGAGGAAGAACAATCATGTCATCATAGGATATCGTGGGTTTGTCCAAGATTGAGTTGGTACCCCAAAATACGATGGTTTATCATGATGATTAATTACTTCATTTATGACACAGGTTCAAAGTAGTTCTGTCAAGTACGCAATCACAGCCCCATTATACATATTCCAATCGTACCCAGTTATACCTCATCATACTCCAATCAGTCCCAGTTATCTCACTTATCCCAGTTATCCTACTACCAGTACATTGTTTCTGGGGGAAGGCTGCGAGAAAGGCAGCCGTAAAGGATTCATTAAACAGGGAGCGCCCGTATTTCTTGCCTATCTGCAAGAGGTCTTGCATTCCCTGCAAAGTGCATCAGCTGCAACTAAGTTGTACGAGTGTGGGGTTGGCCAATTCAAGTGAATGGTTGGTTGAACAGTTTAAAGAGGCATGCCGACCACCACAACAACCAGCCCCACCACCACTTCTACCGGCTGTGAGACCTATAGGGTGGTTTCCGCAGCGAGTACCAGCCCTTTCCCCACAAGCCCGTTCCCCAGAAGTCATTGCGGTTTGCACCTAAAATATCCTAAAATGAATTCAAACAGGAACAAGCGCGAGTTGGTAATTCTGACTCTCTCCCCGCAAAGCTAGAATGCTGCATATCGATGCATATCGTATAGCTTCTCCACATCAATCACCATGTGCCAGGAACAGAGATGGTTGCCCAGCAACACTCAGATCCGGGGTCCTCTTGTTCAACCATCTCTGGATGAATCACAACAGTTGCAACGTAGACCCCCAACCCGTTGCTTTTCAGCAGCACTAACTGGAGCCAGAACCCAAGTCGAATGCAAAGTCAACCAAAAAGGCCGGAAACCTAGAGTCCGTTTCAGACAAACACTTCACAGAAACTCCGTTGTTGTCATTCCTGCAGCAACATATCATTCAAATCGACCGAGAACTTAAATAGGCCCGCGAGAGCCCAAGCTGATGTACGTACATCTATAATGTCAACCCCGGATTAATAAACCCCTAGGCTGTTTGATTGGGGAGGTACCATTTGAGTATTAGATTACCACTATTTGGGGAGTACCCCCTACTTAATAAACCATGGTTTATTAATCCAGGGTTGACATTACATGCTGCCGTGACAAGCACGCAATGATGAAACAACCATGAGGCCCAAGTGAATGTCACAATCCTAGCTTTGCAGGGTCCCAGTCACACCTTTTTGCCAGTTGGCAGGTCTTTGTGAGAAGCTGCGCTATGGCCAGGTGGGTTGGGAGTACCACGAGGTGATCCAACCAGCTTCCCAAACTATGCTGCACAACGGGTGCGGCAGGGATTGCTTGGCAATCCAGATCTGGGAAATTCGTTCGAAGCGTCGACTCATTGAGTCCAAAGCTGCAATCCAGTTGTGTGATCGAAACCATGCAGAATCTCTTGGCTGCCATGTTTGCAGCAAGATTGATGAATGAGATCTCTCTGGTGGGAACGAGGTTTCTGGCTTTGTCTAAAAAGAAATCAGGAACAACCACTAGGTTAGGCACAACAACTGTCCCTCATAAAGCTGTATATAGTCAGGAGATTGGGCTCGCTTGGCTCTGAGCTCTGCAGAACTGATTTTGGAATGATTCCTGTCTATATTGTCTATCACATCTGGCTTCCAAAGCATGCATTCCGCCAGATTGGACCATCTGAAATGGATCAGTAATCAGTGGGCATTTGAATCCAAACAGCACACAACTCAACTGCCTGGCTGCCATAAGTTCTCATTGCATCAGCTTGAAAGCTCCGGCCTCAGTGACAACAGTTTGATGGGTTAGCTGGACGACTGGCGATCTACCCTGATCGACGAAGCCTGAGGTTGGAGGATAAGGAATGAGTTGGTCCAAAAATGGGGTTTGCCGTGGTGTAGCCCGAATTGCACTTGTATATTTAATTACCATCTCATTCCCCCTTAAAATTACTTAACCCTCGCAGCCACATCTGGCTCAGCCAAGGCAACGGCAAGCCAGCGCTTGGCACCCACTTGTCCGCTGTCCGGCGGCCTATGACGTACTGATGACATCTGATGACGGCGCGTGCTCGTGTGACAGCCAATGGATTATGTCGATTCCAGAGTCGAAATGTACAAGAATATCGTGGAACATCATGGAACATTAATTTGCCCAGAAAGAAGTTGGTAGTCGGGAAAATGATGATAAACCATGATAAACCAATTGATTTTGAGGTTTGCCCTGTTTGTTTGGACCAAACAAACCACATCAGAAACGCAGCTCTGCGTGGCTTTCCTCACCTCCAAGAAGCTGCCATCATCCGCGGATGCTGTCTCCACCTACAGAAATCTGGATCGACTTGTGACAGGTTCAGTTTGACTTGTGCAATGGATGGCTTGAAGTGGTTCGTGTTGCTGTGTCTCGCCATATGCCACTTGGGGGTGCCCGGATACATCACTCGGGTGATCTTTAGAGATCACAACAATCCGACGCATCGTGCTCCCCAGTGGGAACTTCAAACACCTATTAGAGCCTCCAAAAACTGGTTTGTCAATGGGGACTCCCACAATGGAGTATGATAATCCCAAGATATTGGATAAATTTGGGTAGAGTAGTAACCTTCTATCATCCTCGAGCGACGGGGTTTTTGAATAGATACAGTATGAGGTCCTTCACACTGCTTTGATGTTGCTACACATTGTCACATGGGTGTACACGGACGCATCCAAGGGGGGGACGGGGTTTAAACCCATTTCCTTTTTTCACGCTCCTTCAAACAGACCATAGATTGGTCGATTTTGGGGGTCGCATCCTTTCCTATAAAACGGCCTCATGGGAATGTTGACCCACGTCATTCCAGTCCCCCTGAAAGGCAAAGGTTCAAAGAACTCAACATCGAACTATGAAATCGTTGAAAGAAATGGAGACAACTGGGCAAATTCAAAGTTGCTACCCCAATGTATTGGGATATTATATTATACCATATAATTTGAATATATTGAAGCACTCGCAACCTGATGATGACTTGGCACATCCAAGGCAAGCGCCTCCAAGTCAGCTGCCTTCCAAGGCAGCAGGAACTTAACCTTCACTTGTCAGGTCAGTTACAGCTTTGTCCCTTGCCAGTGATCGGTAGAAACACACGGATCAAGTTGATACAAATCATACCTATAGTATGCTATAGAATGCTGTAGTTGTACCATGTCGTACCAAAGCTTTCTGTGAGGAATGTAAAAATCCACGTGTCTGACTTTCCCATACCGGGCCATACCCCATTGTGTTGCTCGTTATCAGTGCTTCTTTCAGCTTCACCCGCTGGCCTCAGCCACCACCACCTCTCTTTCGCCCGATCTGCATGCGCCCATTCTCATCTCCTCCTGGTCACAACATGGATCCGCAGTATCTTGACCGATGTTTGCATAATTAAATATTATATATATACATACATAATTATACAAATATATATATATAAGTTGAAGTGAGATTGCATGATATTACAGGTACTAGTACATGATTTAGCGGTGTTGCACCCGTATACAGAAGATTGATTTCCCAGCCAGAGATGTTTGTACCATGTACATCAATGTGCCCCATGAGGGCCACTTGCCATCCCCGCAGACTTTCTCCTTGCCCCATCACTAGCAGTCCTCCTTTGTAGGTAGGTGCTCGAGATTTGTCCTTCCAGATCATGGTATCTCAATGATGTTGAACAGATGACATATTTGTCACTGGTTTTCAGATCATCAAGGGTTCTTGATGAAATCGGTTGAAACCCTGCTGCATACTGCATAAGTGACCCGAGCATAGATAGTGCAACGAATTTCTTCAAACGAATGCCACGGTTTGGAGAAGTCGTGCCACTGCGAAACATAACGCACAGGAAACGAAGCACCATTTGACCGACGCAAAGGACGTCGTGCAATGAAAGTTTCTGGCAACCCCAAGGAGGACTCCAGAAGGCTGCAAACTTCGGTTCAGCCCAAATGGTTACTTAAAAGGCCAGGCTCAATTTGGCCGGGAAAAATTATGGACACACCAAGCCTCTCTTAGGCACAGGTTCCATCCGGGTGTAGTGGACCAGGTGTCGACATAATTCGACATACACATCGACCCTGGAACCTACCTAACCCTGCACTCCATGCCAGGGTATCCCTCCAGTTGCGAACAATGCGCAGGTGGCTCATGCCAACGATGGGGGCAAAGTGGAAGCAGATTTCACCAAGGTGGCCTGAGCTGGGCTCTGACCCAAGAACTCCACATGACCGGTCTCCAGGTCGTAGATGCCGCCCTGGATCTCAACCTCCCCTGCAGCAACCTTCGGGCAGAATGTCATGCAAAGTTATGAATCCAAAGACTATGACACACTTGAGATCGAAGGTACCAAATGCAAAATGCATCCAAATACATTGGATGTAAACAAACTGCATTCAAAAGAGCGGTGCTTCTGCAACTGAGTCAGCCGAGCACGAGCAGTCTGTACGTCGCAATATTATGTCACAATATGTCACAACATGTCATGATATGTCACGATGTCACCAGCGTTCAACCGGCCTTTTCTCTGACGAGTGGGCTGTACTGCAAAAGGAAGTCAATGGTGTGGAAGACGTTCCTTGCAAAAGAACTGATGATGCAAGAGGGTCATGGGTCCTCCAAGAAATCCTAATTCGGGGGATAAGTTGGATATTATATTATTTCCATCCAAAAAATATCTCGGGACATTACCGCAAAATATGAGGGAAAACAGGAGTTGAAGCTCAAATCATCTACATTCCATACTGATATACTATACTATACTTTTGATGTGCAATTGTTTCTGATGCATCCCAAATCATTCAAAAGCTACAGCCGCAGAGCTGTATAGGAAAGCACTGTAGAATATTGTAGAAAAATTTGAGGGGCTCCGGTCCCAAGCCCGTTCAAAGTACGGTTTGACGGGTCCTGGCCTGCGAAATGTCGGATTCTCCTATCATATACTATGCTGCAGCACTTGGGCTCTATGCCACGGAACAGCTTGAAAAATATTCTATTTGAAAAAACTGCTACTCTGTCATGGAATATCAAGAAGTTGATTCGGTCACTTTCATATTTGCCAAGAAACAGCTTGATGGTCCTGTCCACGATCTGCGCCTCCGTTGCGCCTTCACCCAACTCCTCAGACGCCTTCTTTGCCACGTCGCTGAGGCCAACCAGCAAGGCATCCAAGGCTTTGGTGACCTGGCAGTGTGAGAAGTTCGTGCCTAGGATTCCACAGAAGATCACAGAAGACACTTTCTTAGCATAATGTTCGCTGCTATTGATTTCTTACGATTTCTTATGATTTCTTTATTTCTTTAGCTTAAACTAATGATCTTGCATCTCTTTGATTCTATGTGCGAGGAAATCTTTGCCGAAATGGACTGCAGATTTTATTTGAAAGCTGAGGCATGCTATGGCGTAAAATATCGTAAAAATCATGCGCAATAATGCATATTGTGGTTCATGATTCATGATGTTTCTATAGACTACAACAAATTCTGACATCTTCTCTTCGAGAAAAAGTTCAAGTATTCCAGCCTGAGGCTTGTTGCCGCTCTTGGCCTGCAGGTATGTTGCTGTGGCACCCTTGATGGCTCCGCAGGCTGTGTGTCCGAGCACCAAGACCATCTTGGACTGCAGGGCGGCAACGCAGAACTCCAAGCTGCCAAGTACGCTGCCTTCGGCGTGGGTGCAGGTGTTGCCAGCATTGCGCAGCACGAAGATGTCACCAGGCATGGCATCAAACACAGTCTCCAAAGGAGCACGGGAATCCGCACAGCCAATGATGGCAGTGTGTGGTGCCTGACCCTCTTTGACCAGGGCCTTCCTCATTGCTGGAGTGATCTTTCCTGAAATGGCAGCACCAGAGGTGAAGCGCGCATTGCCCTCCTTCAGCAGCTTCAATGCCTCTTGGGATGGCAAGGGGCCATCAGTTGTTGTGCGGATGGGCAATGCCTGGAGGGATGGTGGCAAGCTTGGGTCAGAGCGGAGCAATTCAGCCTGCCTGGGGGAGCGGCCAAGGAACTCAACTCGACCAGTCTCCAAATGGTAGATACCACCCTGGATTTCCACGTTGCCGCTCTTCACAAGCTCCCTGAGGGATGGGCTGTACTTCAACAAGAACTCGATGGAGCTAAAGACGTTCACGCGCACAGAGTGGGACACCAACTGGTCCTGATCGGCGCCAACACCAAGCAAGCTCCTCTTCGGCCTGCTTTGCGACGCCAGACAAACCCACCAGCAGACCCTCAAGTGCACTGCCTGCACTCTTGGAGGCCTTGCCTTCCTTGCTGGCAAGGTAGGTCGCAGTAGCTCCGGCAATGGCTCCGCACTTGGTGTGGCCCATCACCAAAATCAACTTGGAGCCCAACTTGCCACAGCAGAACTCCAAGCTACCAACCATGCTGCCTTCCGCATGGGTGCAAGTGTTGCCTGCATTCCTCAAGACAAACAAGTCACCTGGCATGGCATCGAACACAGTGTCAACTGGCACACGGGAATCTGCGCAGCCAAGGATGGCGGTGTGGGGTGCCTGCCCATGGCTCACCAAAGCTTCACGCATCTTGAGAGTGGCGTGCTTGGCCAAAGGAGCACCCACAGCAAAGCGCTCGTTGCCAGCCTTCAGCATCTTCAAAGCTTCCTCAGCAGGAACTGCACTGTCCACTGTGGTGCGCACTCCATGCTCACCTCGTGCGGAAGGGCCATAGCCAGAGGTGCGGCCACCCTCACGAGTCATGGATGGGGGAAGCCCAAGGTTGGTGCTCAAAAGGGTGGACTGCTGTGGAGAACGTCCCATGAACTCCACCTTTCCAGAGTCCAGGTGATAGATGCCACCCTGGATCTCGACCTGGCCACTCTTAACCTTCTCCCGCAATGGGGCGCTGTACTTCAGCAAGAAGTCGATAGTGTGGAAGACGTTCACGCGCACAGCGTGGGCTGCGACCTCATCTGCATCAGTGTGGGAACCCATGTCGGCCACGGCCTTCTCCGCCACTGGGGCCAAGTCCAACAGCAGACCCTCCAGGGCAGACTCAACACTGGCGGTCTCAGACTTCTTTGCCGCCAGGTAGGCGTTCGTGGCACCATAGACGGCACCGCACTTGGTGTGGCCAAGCACCAAAATCATGCGGGCACCCAGCTTGCCGGTGCAGAACTCCAAGCTGCCAACCATGCTGCCCTCGGCGTGGGTGCAGGTGTTGCCAGCATTGCGCAGCACAAAGATGTCACCAGGCAGGGCATCAAAGATGGTCTCCAAAGGTGCTCGGGAATCTGCACAGCCAATGATGGCAGTGTGTGGTGCCTGTCCCATGTCAACAAGCTCCTGGCGCATTTTCTCGTTGGTTCGAGTTGCGGTAGGCTCTCCCTTGATGAAGCGCGCATTACCCTCCTTCAAGAGCTTCAGAGCCTCATCAGGAGGCATGGGCGCATCTGCGGTGGTGCGCACGTTCCTGCCTCAGAATGCCAGAGATTCAGAAGTTGGATTTGACAGTCATCAGATACATAACAGACGACATGTTGTACGCACAGTGACACCATCACGGTTCTATCAAAGATTGATCAAAGTGCATCTAACATAAAGTATCACAAGTACACAAGCACACACAAGCGGTTTCTTAGGCTCCGACTTGAGGATGCCATGGTGGGAACACTCAACGCAATGATAGACGGATTCGACTTGCACAAATAGCTCTGGAAGGTAGTGCAGTAGTTATCCGTCTTCAAAGCATGTCAAAGCATGTTAAAACCAATTTTACCATCTCATTTATTCTGCAAATACATGATACTTCTCAAAAAACCTCTGTCATTCAAGGAGTATACGGTAGATGCCCATATTCCCTGTGGCTGCAGCGAACAGCTAGATTTCCAACCCAAAATATCCTTCCCTTCGGAGTTAAATGGAGAATGCCTGCAAGCTGCCTGTTGCCTCACTCAACTGTCCTCGTAATCGATTGCTGAGGTGTTCTGAAGATTCTACTGCACGGCTCACCACCCGGTCAAGTGGAAGCTGAGAATCAAGCAAACCTGGAGACTTTTGCACGTTCTATCGCAAAGTTACGGGTTTCTGGTATTCCCTGCTGCAACTGGAGTTGCGGCAAGAACCAGGAGCTGCAAGATTCTGCAGCTTGCGAAAGTAAATACAGACTCCAAGCCCTGCCATGCCGATGGTCGGCAACAGCAGGTTTAAATAGACTCCTGTTGTCTGCATATGTCTGCATCGTTGAGCCCGTGCTAATCGCACAGACTGAAAATGTCGAGACATTTTGGCAAGAAAAACCTATCTAACATCTGGTGATACCGAGCATTGGCCGTTGCACGCTGCATGTGAGCGAGAGAACCCCACACTTAGTGAAGGGGTTGTTCTCATGCCAACGATGGGGGCAAAGTGGAAGCAGATTTCACCAAGGTGGCCTGAGCTGGGCTCTGACCCAAGAACTCCACATGACCGGTCTCCAGGTCGTAGATGCCGCCCTGGATCTCAACCTCCCCTGCAGCAACCTTCGGGCAGAATGTCATGCAAAGTTATGAATCCAAAGACTAGGACACACTTGAGATCGAAGGTACCAAATGCATCCAAATGCATCTAAATGCCCTACTGTAGGTGTAAGCAAACCGCATTCAAAAGAGCGGTGCTTCTGCAACTGAGTCAGCCGAGCACGAGCAGTCTGTACGTCGCAATATGTCACAATACGTCACAACATGTCATGATATGTCATGATATGTCACGATGTCACCAGTGTTCAACCGGCCTTTTCTCTGACGAGTGGGCTGTACTGCAAAAGGAAGTCAATGGTGTGGAAGACGTTCCTTGCAAAAGAACTGATGATGCAAGAGGGTCATGGGTCCTCCAAGAAATCCTAATTCGGGGGATAAGTTGGATACTATACTATTATCATCCAAAAAATATCTCGGGACTTTTCCATCCAAAAAATATCTCGGGACATGACCGCAAAATATGAGGGAAAACAGGAGTTGAAGCTCAAATCATCTACATTCCATACTGATATACTATACTATACTTTTGATGTGCAATTGTTTCTGATGCATCCCAAATCATTCAAAAGCTACAGCCGCAGAGCTGTATAGGAAAAGCATTGTAGAATATTGTAGAAGAATTTGAGGGGCTCCGGTCCCAAGCCCGTGCCTCTAGCCCTGTCACCAGAAACTGTCTAGGCACATTATAGGCCATTCTTTTCTTTCCGACATCCCCAAGCGCCCTGATCCTCTTGTAAGTACAAGATCAAGAAAGGGATAAGAATCTGCAGAACCTCACCTTGTATGTTCCAAAAATCGTTGGCAATTCAAAGTACTGTTTGACGGGTCCTGGCCTGCGAAATGTTGGATTCTCCTATCATATACTATGCTGCAGCACTTGGGCTCTATGCCACGGAACAGCTTGAAAAATATTCTATTTGAAAAAACTGCTACTCTGTCATGGAATATCAAGAAGTTGATTCGGTCACTTTCATATTTGCCAAGAAACAGCTTGATGGTCCTGTCCACGATCTGCGCCTCTGTTGCGCCTTCACCCAACTCCTCAGACGCCTTCTTTGCCACGTCGCTGAGGCCAACCAGCAAGGCATCCAAGGCTTTGGTGACCTGGCAGTGTGAGAAGTTCGTGCCTAGGATTCCACAGAAGATCACATAAGACACTCACTTAGCATATCTTAGCATCATGTTCGCTGTTTTTTTCGCTTACTATATAATCATCTTGCATCTCTTCATCTCTTTGATTCTCTGTGCCCTTTACATTCTTGCTTTGGCTCAGTAAACTGTCAAGCGAGGAAATCTTTGCCAAAATGGACTGCAGATTTTACTTGAAAGCTGAGGTATGCCATGGCGTAAAATATCGTAAAAACAATGCGCAATAATGCATATTGTGGTTCATGATTCATGATGTTTCTATATACTACAACAAATTCTGACATCTTCTCTTCGAGAAAAAGTTCAAGTATTCCAGCCTGAGGCTTGTTGCCGCTCTTGGCCTGCAGGTATGTTGCTGTGGCACCCTTGATGGCTCCGCAGGCTGTGTGTCCGAGCACCAAGACCATCTTGGACTGCAGGGCGGCAACGCAGAACTCCAAGCTGCCAAGTACGCTGCCTTCGGCGTGGGTGCAGGTGTTGCCAGCATTGCGCAGCACGAAGATGTCACCAGGCATGGCATCAAACACAGTCTCCAAAGGAGCACGGGAATCCGCACAGCCAATGATGGCAGTGTGTGGTGCCTGTCCCTCTTTGACCAGGGCCTTCCTCATTGCTGGAGTGATCTTTCCTGAAATGGCAGCACCAGAGGTGAAGCGCGCATTGCCCTCCTTCAGCAGCTTCAATGCCTCTTGGGATGGCAAGGGGCCATCTGTTGTTGTGCGGATGGGCAATGCCTGGAGGGATGGTGGCAAGCTTGGGTCAGAGCGCAGCAATTCAGCCTGCCTGGGGGAGCGGCCAAGGAACTCAACTCGACCAGTCTCCAAATGGTAATACCACCCTGGATTTCCACGTTGCCGCTCTTCACAAGCTCCCTGAGGGATGGGCTGTACTTCAACAAGAACTCGATGGAGCTAAAGACGTTCACGCGCACAGAGTGGGACACCAACTGGTCCTGATCGGCGCCAACACCAAGCTCCTCTTCGGCCTGCTTTGCGACGCCAGACAAACCCACCAGCAGACCCTCAAGTGCACTGCCTGCACTCTTGGAGGCCTTGCCTTCCTTGCTGGCAAGGTAGGTCGCAGTAGCTCCGGCAATGGCTCCGCACTTGGTGTGGCCCATCACCAAAATCAACTTGGAGCCCAACTTGCCACAGCAGAACTCCAAGCTACCAACCATGCTGCCTTCCGCATGGGTGCAAGTGTTGCCTGCATTCCTCAAGACAAACAAGTCACCTGGCATGGCATCGAACACAGTGTCAACTGGCACACGGGAATCTGCGCAGCCAAGGATGGCGGTGTGGGGTGCCTGCCCATGGCTCACCAAAGCTTCACGCATCTTGAGAGTGGCGTGCTTGGCCAAAGGAGCACCCACAGCAAAGCGCTCGTTGCCAGCCTTCAGCATCTTCAAAGCTTCCTCAGCAGGAACTGCACTGTCCACTGTGGTGCGCACTCCATGCTCACCTCGTGCGGAAGGGCCATAGCCAGAGGTGCGGCCACCCTCACGAGTCATGGATGGGGGAAGCCCAAGGTTGGTGCTCAAAAGGGTGGACTGCTGTGGAGAACGTCCCATGAACTCCACCTTTCCAGAGTCCAGGTGATAGATGCCACCCTGGATCTCGACCTGGCCACTCTTAACCTTCTCCCGCAATGGGGCGCTGTACTTCAGCAAGAAGTCGATAGTGTGGAAGACGTTCACGCGCACAGCGTGGGCTGCGACCTCATCTGCATCAGTGTGGCAACCCATGTCGGCCACGGCCTTCTCCGCCACTGGGGCCAAGTCCAACAGCAGACCCTCCAGGGCAGACTCAACACTGGCGGTCTCAGACTTCTTTGCCGCCAGGTAGGCGTTCGTGGCACCATAGACGGCACCGCACTTGGTGTGGCCAAGCACCAAAATCATGCGGGCACCCAGCTTGCCGGTGCAGAACTCCAAGCTGCCAACCATGCTGCCCTCGGCGTGGGTGCAGGTGTTGCCAGCATTGCGCAGCACAAAGATGTCACCAGGCAGGGCATCAAAGATGGTCTCCAAAGGTGCTCGGGAATCTGCACAGCCAATGATGGCAGTGTGTGGTGCCTGTCCCATGTCAACAAGCTCCTGGCGCATTTTCTCGTTGGTTCGAGTTGCGGTAGGCTCTCCCTTGATGAAGCGCGCATTACCCTCCTTCAAGAGCTTCAGAGCCTCATCAGGAGGCATGGGCGCATCTGCGGTGGTGCGCACGTTCCTGCCTCAGAAGGCCAGAGATTCAGAAGTTGGATTTGACAGTCACCAGATACATAACAGACGACATGTTGTACGCACAGTGACACCATCACGGTTCTATCAAAGATTGATCAAAGTGCATCTAACATAAAGTATCACAAGTACACAAGCACACACAGGCGCTTTCTTAGGCTCCGACTTGAGGATGCCATGGTGGGAACACTCAACGCAATGATAGACGGATTCGACTTGCACAAATGGCTCTGGAAGGTAGTGCAGTAGTTATCCTTCTTCAAAGCATGTCAAAGCATGCTTAAACCAATTTTACCATCTCATTTATTCTGCTTTAATCTGCAAATACATGATACTTCTCAAAAAACCTCTGTCATTCAAGGAGTATACGGTAGATGCCCATATTCCCTTACGGCTGCAACGAACAGCTAGATTTCCAAATATCCTTCCCTTCGGAGTTAAATGGAGAATGCCTGCAAGCTGCCTGTTGCCTCACTCAACTGTCCTCGTAATCGATTGCTGAGGTGTTCTGAAGATTCTACTGCACCGCTCACCACTCGGTCAAGTGGAAGCTGAGAATCAAGCAAACCTGGAGACTTTTGCGCGTTCTATCGCAAAGTTACGGGTTTCTGGTATTCCCTGCTGCAACTGGAGTTGCGGCAAGAACCAGGAGCTGCAAGATTCTGCAGCTTGCGAAAGTACATACAGACTCCAGGCCCTGCCATGCCGATGGTCGGCAACAGCAGGTTTAAATAGACTCCTGTTGTCTGCATATGTCTGCATCGTTGAGCCCGTGCCAATCGCACAGACTGAAAATGTCGAGACATTTTGGCAAGAAAAACCTATCTAACATCTGGTGATACCGAGCATTGGCCGTTGCACGCTGCATGTGAGCGAGAGAACCCCACACTTAGTGAAGGGGTTGCAATCATGCCAACGATGGGGGCAAAGTGGAAGCAGATTTCACCAAGGTGGCCTGAGCTGGGCTCTGACCCAAGAACTCCACATGACCGGTCTCCAGGTCGTAGATGCCGCCCTGGATCTCAACCTCCCCTGCAGCAACCTTCGGGCAGAATGTGATGCAAAGTTATGAATCCAAAGACTATGACACACTTGAGATCGAAGGTACCACATGCAAAATGCATCCAAATACATTAGATGTAAACAAACTGCATTCAAAAGAGCGGTGCTTCTGCAACTGAGTCAGCCGAGCACGAGCAGTCTGTACGTCGCAATATGTCACAATATGTCACAACATGTCATGATATGTCATGATATGTCACGATGTCACCAGCGTTCAACCGGCCTTTTCTCTGACGAGTGGGCTGTACTGCAAAAGGAAGTCAATGGTGTGGAAGACGTTCCTTGCAAAAGAACTGATGATGCAAGAGGGTCATGGGTCCTCCAAGAAATCCTAGTTTCCGGGGATAAGTTGGATATTATACTATTTCCATCCAAAAAAATATCTCGGGACTTTTGCATCCAAAAAATATCTCGGGACATTACCGCAAAATATGAGGGAAAACAGGAGTTGAAGCTCAAATCATCTACATTCCATACTGATATACTATATATACTATACTTTTGATGTGCAATTGTTTCTGATGCATCCCAAATCATTCAAAAGATACAGCCGCAGAGCTGTATAGGAAAGCACTGTAGAATATTGTAGAAGAATTTGAAGGGCTCCGGTCCCAAGCCCGTGCCTCTAGCCCTGTCACCAGAAACTGTCTAGGCACATTTAGGCCATTTTTTTTTTTCCGACATCCCCAAGCGCCCTGATCCTTTTGTGAAATACAAGATCAAGAAAGGGATACGAATCTGCAGAACCTCACCTTGTATGTTCCAAAAATCGTTGGCAATTCAAAGGACGGTTTGACGGGTCCTGGCCTGCGAAATGTCGGATTCTCCTATCATATACTATGCTGCAGCACTTGGG